TGCTTTGAACAAGATGTTTATTCAAAATAAGCTGTCCAAAATGATGTAATCTTTACAGAATAAACAAATGTTAAGGGTTTATGCAGCAGATTTCTTTTCTTCTGTGGTAGATTTCTTTTCTGCTGGCTTCTTGTCAGCTGCTGGTTTCTTATCAGCTGCTCGCTTCTTGTTAGCTGCAGCCTTTTTTCCCACCAAGGGCTTCTTCTGCTGCTTAGCACCAACTCCCTTTCCTTTCTTCCCTTCCACAGGCTTCTTAGCTGCAACCCCCTTCTCATCAGATTTGGCCTCTAGTGCTGCTGCCACTTTATCCAGCCGTTTCTTGTGCTGTTAACAAATTACACAAGAAAATGTAAAAATTGAGTCTTTCTCAAACCGTGATACATTAGTGAAAAAGAAACTATCACTTACATTCCTGGCCTGACGAAGAATGGTGTTCCGGCGCATGGTCTTTGCATACGGGTTAAGTTTCAACATGATTCTCAGGTTTTTCAGAGGATTCTTCTTGAGGACTCTGCGATGGATCTTCTTGCTATAAAAAAAGCATCAGCATCTGACTTACATTACATTGTTATTGAAATACAAAGGGACTTAAAAATGGAATTTAAGTATGAGTTAGTTGCAAAATTAAAAGTACTTTCTTTTCCATACATTATTACAATATGCACTTTCCATGAATTTTCTGAAGACCTCCCCAGCAAGGTAGGTTGGGACAAGAATTGTACTATAAACGTTAGTTACCGTGGTGCTCGGAGGGCTCTTTGGATCTCTGGACTTTTCAAGATCCTGCTAAGGTCTGTGTTCATCATCTTGTGCATGGGAAGGCTAAAAGGGCAAAAAAAGACCCAAGTTCCCATTTTTCAAGTTATTGGCTAAAGAACATGAATCAACACAAGTTTTTAACCACTGAAGTGCTCCAGAATTCCAGAATTTCTGTCATGCTATTACTTCTCGTAAACACACAGACACACAAATGCCAGGTGAAGATGGAAGAGATTTCAGTACATTGTGCCTGCACCATGAGGAAGAACAGGAGGAAACTGCAATCCAGCACTTAACATACAGGCCAATTCTAAATGTAAACAGTCAGTTTAAACACCTACATCCAGTATATGAGAAACACTCACTTATAGTTACTCTTGAGGGAAGCAGATTTCCGCCAAGTGCCATACAATTCATCTAACTTCCGGAAGGCACTTTCAGTCCAAATGCAGAAACGTCCCACATGCCCACCAGGAGCAAGTTTCAAAATATTCAGTTTGCTTACATTAAGCAGAGTGATTCCTTTGAAAAGGAAAGGAGAATTAGGGAGCCTGTATTTCAACAGAAGAAACACAAATCATCCTGATGGCTAACATGCTACATAAGGTACCTGACAATGACCTTATTAATTATGAAGTTCCAACTGTCAGTGTCAACTCATTCAGCAAAGTATCAGAACTTCCACAAAATCATGTGTTTCAGAAACACGGACCATGAAGTGGAATCTCATCATAATACAAAAAGCTGAATAAGCTTGCCTAGTATAGATAATCAAATATACGTAAGGAAGCAGCACAGGAATTACCAGGGATGTTTCTGAAGGCCTTGATGATACCATTGTCCTCATTATAGATGATGCAAGGTCCCCTGCGCTGGATACGACGGCGGTTTCTCATTTTGCCCTTGCCAGCTCTCATTCGCTGAGAAGCGTAGACCTGCAAAGTGAGGATTTTAGTATTATGATTCAGATATAATCCCTGCAACTGCTCTTCATAACATAATTAAAAAAACCCACTATTACGATCTTGAAATTGGGGCACAAATGATTCACTCAATCTAAGGCCGTTAATGGCAACCAGGATTCCAATCCAAAAATACCCTGGCTCCAAAACCTTTTTTCTCTCATCTTTGCAACACTGCCCCCCAATTCCTTTTTATATCTGAAAGGTGACAATTTTTTGTGGATCAAAGACTACCAAACAGACCTTCATTAAACCTACCTTTTTAATATCATTCCAGGCCTTAAGTTTCTTCAGAAGCAAAACAGCTTCCTTGGTCTTCTTATAGCCTTCAACTTTATCTTCAACCACCAAAGGAAGTTCAGGAACTTCCTCAATACGGTGACCTGACAAAACCAATTCGATATTTAGCGGTCACCCCCAAGATCACTGAAAAACTAATAAACAAAAGCAAAATGGTATGTAATTTGCCAAATCAGAATTTCCACAAATATCATGTGTTTCAGAAACACGGACCAATTGAGTGGAATCTCATCATTCTGACAGTTAAATAAAAGAATTAGTTTTCCCAGTTACAAAGTATTAACAGATGAGTGATTTCTTAGATTGAAATAGCACCATTTATAAAGGAAAGTTTTAGTTAGACACTCGGGGATGAACAGAATTTTTACAGGCAATTCCTAAGACTCAGATTAAAAAAAGGGTTCTGTGCCAACTCTTATGATACAAATTACAAACCTTTAGACATGACTAGAGCTGGTAAAGCTGAGGCAGCCAGGGCAGAACAGATGGCATACCGCTTTTGGGTAGTATTCACTCTGCGGTGCCAACGCCGCCAGGTCTTAGTTGGTGCAAACATGCGACCTCCTCGACACATCTATTTTCTTGGTTAAGAATAACATTTCTCAAATTTTGAGAGTTTGAAAAATGGTTATATCGGGACTAGCAGTTGGCATAAAGGCTATGTCGCTGGACTCCCATGTAGTCAACTGCAGCTTGAGTCTTGGACTAGGTGCTTAAACTCATGCCAGGCATATGTGTGTGCATGCCCAAGATCCTGAGAGGAGAATGGAGAAGTGACTACATATAGCGTGGACATCCCCACCCAGGGTGAGATTTCTTGTCTGTCTTTCTGTACCTTCTCCATAGCCAAAACTTCTCCCCTCCCATCCCCCAAAAAGGTTATCTTGCTCAGTAAGAATTTTCGTCAACCTTCTGTACCAGCTTACTGACAGCAGGCAACTGTCGCTGAGAACAGAGTAAGACGCAAATTACGACATCATTGCAAGCAAAACTTCTCTGCTATGAATCACTCCCTCTTTTAGAAATAAATTATGATAGAAAAATGAGCACATTCTAGTTTTCAAATCTGTCTAGAGCAATATTTAATGGGGACAAATGATATTTAATAGGGACACTCTTACTACTCTGAACATAAGAATGTGGAAACTCTATTAATATAAATGAAAATCAGGTCCAGTCTGCTCAACCCCACAGAAGGCAACCAGACCAGGTAGTGAAACAAAGGATACATTTCCAAAAGCACCCTGGCCAGAACGGTGAGTCCCACCACCTCGGACTCTGGGAATTCGAGCCACAGCTCTCCCAGTACCCCAAGACTCAGCACTGGTCTGATGACCTAAAATTGGAAAGAAAGAAAATGTTTTAGCTACCCAGTCGTGTCAATCTGTGACTATTATGCACAGTAGCAAGCAGCATCAGAACATCCAAGAAAATCATGTGGTTCAGAAACACGGACCAATGATGTGGAATTTCATCACTACTGTCAAGTGGCCCCTAAAATAGTAACCTATGGGAAACAGAAATCCATACCTGCTAATTCACTGACAGCATAGGGCTGTCTGTTATTTTTGCGCAAGTTGGTGTGAACAAAGTTCACGATATCTGGTCGGATGGGAGCCTTGAATACCGCAGGCAACGTGACATTTTTGCCAGACGATTCCCCCTTTTCAGAGTACACTGATATCAGTGGACGAGCACACGCCTTGAATGAAAAGAAAAGATATTTAGATTGACAAGCAGGGACAGAGTGAAACTAGTGTCAATAATCGCATTATACTCTTAATGAACTTTCATTCTGCCCTCCCCATCCTCTTTCTAAGCATATCAGATACTTACTAGTGAAAACGCGGGTCATGTTACCTTTGTTCAACCCTCTCCAGAGACTTCTCACTTGGGGGTAAAACCAAATTCTTCTGGATGAAGATAGGATATGCTCTTCCTCTCTGAACTTATTGCTCATACTCCTGACCTTGTATTCACAACAATTTTTTCCCTAAAGCTGCTCTCAACACAATTCCTCACCTCCTTTAGACTGCCTTTCTACAAGTTACTACTTAAAGCTAAACCATTGCCTCCTTTATCTCCGCAACACTTACTACCAATGTTTTATTTTAGACCAATCACAAGGGCAGTGCTATTTCTTTTTCTGAACCCCTCACCCCCGCACACAATACCACACTGTACCAACACTATTTGTGGAAAAGTACTACATTTAACATTAGTCATAACGGGAGCTGGCTGAGGACTTGCTCAGTAAGAATTTTCGTCAACCTTCTGTACCAGCTTACTGACAGCAGGCAACCGTCGCTGAGAACAGAGTACGACGCAAATTACGACATCATTGCAAGCAAAACGTCTCTGCTGTGAACTCCCTCGTCTTTTAGAAATAATGATAGAAAAATGAACACCTTCCAGTTTTCAAGTAAGCCTAGAGCAATATGTAATAGAGACGGGCGATACTTAGATTTAGATGCCACAGAAGTACAACCCAATCAGAAAGCTGCTACATAGATGACTCCCAAGCTGGCCAGAGACGAGCATTCAGGGGAAAAAAAGAAACGCAGTATTTTCTTAGCAAAATCCTTCTCTCAAAAGGTGGAAATAAACCTTACTAATAAGCAGCACGCCGAAGTGCAAGGTCCCTAGCTGCCTCTCCTTTCCCCAAGCCCGGTTCGGTCCTAGGCCCCAGCGGTTTTCGTTTTCGGCAGGCCCGGTTCCCAAGACCCAAGGACAGCAGAACGCGGAGGGCTGGCGTGCGCCTGAGCACGGGGAGGGCTCGCCGCCGCCCGGCCGCCCACGTTGCCTGTAAGATGGCTGCCATATGCCGTCCAGCCCGGCTCCCGGACACGCACGCTTTGGCCCCTATTCCCTCGTCCTCCATTTCTCTCCTGCACATTTTAGGCCTCGAACTCCCGATCCTTTCCTATTGGTCCTAGGACAGGAAGACTACCCAGCCAAAAGGACTTGCACTCACCATGGCGGGGAGAGGAGAGGACCACGCTCCTCTCGACCGGCGGCTCCCACAGGAAAAGGAAGTGCGTATCACTCCCAGCCTATATGTAACCCTCCCCTCGTCTCTCACCGTGCCCGGCCTCGAAACCAACACGGGCACACGAAATGTCCCTCTGCTACACCACCAGGGAAAAAAACCAGAGTGTTCCTCACTTTTAGATAAGAAATACGGTATCTTTTGTCTTTCAAAGCCAATGATAGTATTCATAAAGGAGGGACTCCTTTGTCGCGGAATAATCCTGAGGGGGCGTGGCCAACTATCGCGAGAGGAGGCGTCTTCCCTGTAACCACTACCATTATTTTCGTTATTTTTTTTTGACTGGAATGGAATATTATTGAGACAAGAAATATCTCTGGGTGCTGTAAAAGAAAAGTTTAGTTTTGTAGACAAACGAAGTTTGTTGGGGGGGTGAAAATAGTCCCGGTGGGGCGGGGCCATGACTGATGACGTCAACGTCCGGGCGCGCAGTTCGGTTTGGCGGTTCTGCACCGCCACTAGTCGGAGTCGAGATGTGGCAGCGCGTGAATACTGCAGCTGAGGAGCTTTACTCTCGTCTTCTACAGTGAGTTTTAGTTTCTTTTTATTGACTGGGGCCCGGGGTCGACACCTCTTCCCCTGGATCTCGGATTCCCACCCCGAGCCTTTCGCTTTGCCGCTTTCCTGGGGCCGGGGGTTGGGAGGAGGCCGGCTCTGCTCCAGTGTGGGGCTGGCCATCGTCGGGGATTGCTGATCGTCAGGTTTATTGAAAACATCTGTACGTTATCAAATGCGGTGGGAAGGCGCGAGTGTTCCAGGGCGGGGATTATTCATTTTGCCGGGACACGCACTTGTGGTAGAGGCACCTCCCAGAATACGGAAAACTGGATGTTGGGCGTCCTTCAGCGTATTGCTTTCTGCTTACTGAATGAAATGCGTGGCTGTAGTCTGTTCAGGACATTGCAGTGACCGTATGAGCTACAGTTGCAGTAGTAACGGAACGCTGCGTTGGTTTGAAAAAATCATTTAAGTCCTTTATTTCACTGTGCTCCAAGACTTCATTTTATTCCTATGGTAGGATTGTATTGTACTGCCAAGGGAATTCCATCGAGTTCCGGAAGAATCTAACCTAGTCGTTTTCAAAGTTGAATGTGCATCATAATTCCCTACTGGCTTGTCAAACAAAGATCCCTTCTCCAGGGTTTCTGATTTAGAAGGTCTGGGGCGGGGCCAAAGAACTTGCCTGTCTTAACAGAGTCCACCTGGAAAGGTGCGGCTGGCTGGGCATCGCAGTTGAGAACTACTGGTGTGCTCTAACCCAATTCTTTTTTTTTAGAAAGATTTTTGCTATAGGGCACACATACACTCACTGTAGAGACAGACAGCGAGAAATCACCCCCCAAGGGGATGTCCACGCCACAATCTCTTCACCATTCTCTCCGGATTTGGGACACTCACACATACGTGCCCAGCGTGAGTTTTAAGTTACCAAGTCCAGTACATGAATCGCAGTTGACTACTGGGAGTCCAGTGATGTAACCATTACACCATCTGCTGGTCCCTGAACCCATCATTTTCTAAATGCTATACTTCTAAACTGTTTATGCTTTCCCTTTTCCCTTCTGCTTACAAAAGTAATAGTAATTTTTGAACATTAGAGAGTACTAGACTATCTCATTTTAAAAAAATAATTATTTAATTTTATTTATTAATGATTTAATTTTGCTGTAAAATTAAATAATAATAATAATTAAATAATGCACACAAGCTCACCAGAGAGAGACAGATAAAGAGGGAAAGTGAGAAAGCAAGCCACCAGGTCCAAGACTCAAACGGCATTCAGCTATGTGGGAGTCCAGCGCCTTAACCACCATACCACCTGCTGACCTTGATTATCTCAGTTTTTTTTTTTTTAAAGTTGTTATTTCATGAATGTGAGAGATAAAGCACCTTCAATAGGATTAGAGACACCTGTGGGTGACCAGAGACCCAAACCTGTCATCTTCCATGTGTTCGCTTAGCATGGTTACTCTGTCATCGACCGGCCCTATCTCACTGTTTCTAACCGCTACATCATATTTTGCTCTGCAGCAGTTTAGTTTAGTTTTGTTTTTTGTTTTTGGTAGAGGTTTTTGCTATAGGGCACATGCGCTTGCCAGAAAGACAGACAGAGACAGAGAGATAGAAAGCAAGAAAACACCTCCCAGGGGGTATGGCCATGCCGCAATCCCTTCTTCTCTTGGGATCTTGGGCATGCATGCACACGTGTCTGGCATGAATTGAAATTACCAGGTCTGGGGCTCGAACCATGGTCGACTACACGGGAGTTCAGTGATGTAGCCATTACGCTAACTGCTGGTCCCTCTGCAGTAGTTTTATTATGTTCATTTAACCAGACCTCTTTTGATATAACTTTGTTTAGACCAGTATATTTTCTGTTTATTTCATAGGTGTTCGTGTTTTGATCCATTAGTAAGGACCAAAAGTTTGTTTTTACTTATGGCCGCACCGTGCCTGTGTGTCCAGCCACAAACTAGAAATTTTCACATGGGACCTCAAAGTCATTACTTGGAAAGCTGAATTATTTTCCCCTAACCTGACATTCCGCTCCTTGAATTCTTTAACAATGGCAAATTCAGTACTTTTTTCTTCATCCTCAGCCCCAACCCTGTCCTCTTGTTCTTTCATCCCTGCTCTTCAGTTCAGGCCTTCATCACATCTCCAAAGTTACTCTGCAGCTGTTTTTCCTGGACTCCAGGTTTTACCTTGCCCTGTATTGTTAGATCTTTCCCATGTAAAATGGCTGAATGACTTTGAGGGTACAGTTCCATCGGTATAACTAAATCTCCACCACAGCTTCCTGCACTTGCCTGCCAGTGTACTTGTCCTCCTGAAACTGTTGGTTTGCCCACTGGACTTCAGTCGAGACGGTGAACTAGGGACTATACTTTTTGATACCCTGCCGTCTAGCAAGATACACACGTTTGTGAAGCAATTGTTAAATGACTGATTAAATAATGTCTGTTAGCCAAAAATGGCCCAGCCACAGTGGTACAAGTGGGAGAGTACCTCTGTGCAGTGGCTAAGGCTGCATGCGAGACCCGGGTTCCAGGCCAGTCCTGGTGTATGCACCTGTGTGGTCCTAGCTAACTTGGAGGCTGGACTGGCAGGATTGCAACATGGTGAGACCCTGATAGAAATACTTACCGTCTCTTGCTTCATCTCACTCTCACTCTTGCTTGAGCTCTCTCTCATTAAAAAAAAGAAAAGTTTTGAATTACATGTAACAGGCTTTTTTTTTTTAAGGGAGATTTTTTGTTATAGTGCATGTACTTGCTGGAGAGAAAGAAAGTGAGAAGTCACCCCCCAGCGGGTATGGCCCTGCCACAATCCCTTCTCTATTTTCCTCTCAGGATTTTGAGCATAAACACACACACACCCAGCGTGAGTTTCAGGCTACCAGGTCCAGGACTGAAACCATGCTGTGTGAGTCTAGCGCCTGAATTGCCTGCTGGCCTGGAGAGAGACGTGGATAAGAATAATTAGGAAAAGTGAATCAGTCACAGGGCTGTCCCGCCTGTTTGTATTTCATTAAGTTGTATGTTATTGTAAATCAAATAGGTATAAATGGTATCCTGAAACAATTCCTTCAATGACTCTGAGTCTTTTCATATTTAGAGTGTAGAGCCATCAAGCTAATATACAGCTTGGTTTGTTAATTGTTTATATAATAGTTTGTGCTTCGCGATTACTATTTGAAACTTTCTTGAACACTAAGTATTAAATGATATCCTGGTATTTCGAGCTTACATTTTTAAAAGAAAATGTTTAAATAATCGTATTTACTTTTATTTTTTGTAGTACATAAAAATGGAGGACAGATGCTTCCACTTTAGTTATAAAAATGTGAGGCTTGAAACCCCTAAGTAGACTTTTCTGTGGATACCCACTGATTCAGTGGCATATCAGAGTCCAGTCACTTACTTTCTAGAAGTCATTTGGGAAATTGGGCCAGCAGGTGGCATGGGGATTGTGGCGCTGACCTTCCACATGGCAGACCGCAGTTCAAGTCTTGGACCTGGTGGCTTGCTTCCTCACGTTACCCCTCTCTCTCTCTGGTCAAATTAAAACAAAACAAAAAAGATAACAAATAAAGTGAAATAAATGTAAAAAGAATTCATTTGGGAATTTACATTTTGATACAGTTATGTGTTAAAAAAGACATAAGACGTTAACTGTGATGTGTTTGAAAAGGCATGTGAGTTAAGTTAGGTGACCTAATTTCCTATGTCTCTAAGAAACAATCATACTGGGACCAGCAGTTAGCGTCATGGCAATGTTGCTGGACTCCCATGTAGTCGACCGCAGTTTGCATCCCGGACCCAGTGACTTAAAACTCATGCCGGGCGCGTGTGTGTGTGCCCAAGATCCTGAGAGAAGAATGGAGGAGAAGGGATTGCGGCGTGACCATCCGTCCTGGGGGGTGGTTTCTCGCTTTCTGTCTCTCTGTCTCTCTCTGGCTGGCTGGCGAGCACACTCGCCCTATCGCAAAAACCTCTCCCAGAAAAAAGAAGCAATCATACCCAGTTGTGGACAGCAGTCTAATCTCTATTACTAGTGTCTTTTCTGTCTCTCTTTTTTTTTTTTTTAAGTTTTTGCTGTAAGGGCACCTGTGCTTGCCAGAGGGAGATGGAGGCAGATGCATGGAAAGTGATAAATCACCCCCGGGATGATTTCTTCTTCTCCATCGTCCTCTTGGTATTTTGGGCATGCATGCACACGTGCCTGGTATGTTTTTCAAGCCGCTGGGTCCGGAAATTGAACCATGGCTGGCCATGTGGGAATCCAGTGCCTTAACCACTGTGCCCCTTCTCTGGCCCCTTCTCCCTTTTTCTTAACCTCATACTCCTTTTCTGCTGTTTCCCTCTCCCCAACTGTGCTTTAGACCTGTCCTGTCTCTGGTTTTATAAAATGATGGCAAACTCCTGATTTAAATAACAGGACAGATATATATTGTAGCTGTGTTTTTCACATGTGGTTCTATATTTCAGGGCATTTGATGAAGAAAAGAAAGGTATCTATAAAGACCCATTTATCTACGAGGTATGAGCAGTTTAATTTGATTTTTAAATATAACTCAATCCTAAAATTGTGTGTTTTAAAAGTCAGCTCTATTGAAGAGACTATCATTGATGTATAGTAAATTTCACCCTTTTAGGGTACTGTTCTGAGTTTTAACAAATGCATTTAGTTATATAACCACCCTCATAATCCAAAAACAGAACATTTCTATCATTTCCAAAAGTTTCTTCACGGCCCTTTGTAGTCAGCCTTTCCCCTACCCCTCTGAGGGAGCCAGCCACTCATCTCATTTCTGTCTGTATGGTTTTGCCTTTTCCAGAACGTCATATAACTAAAATCAGTTTGTAGCCTATGGGGTCTGGCTACTCTCACTTAGTATAATGTAGTTGAGGTTTATCTGTGTTGTTATGTGTGTTAGTAATTTATTCTTTTTATTGCTGGAAATATTTCACTGTATGAATGTTCCACAGTTTGCAGTGTGGTTATCCATCTACCAACTGAAGGGCATTTAGTTGTTTCCAGTTTTGGGTGATTATGAGTAAAGTGACTATAAACATTCATTCATTCATTCATTTTTATGCCAGAGGATGCATGAGGAAGGGAGTGAGAGAAAGAAAGCACCCTTCCAGTGAGCATTGTGAGGCAGCAATCCTCTGTATTCCAATTATCCATCCCGTTAGGATCATGGGCATGCATGTACCCACCCAGTGTGTTTTTCAAGCCAACAGGGCTAGGACTCGAACCCTATTCAGCCATGTGGAATTCAGCTTCCTCTTTGCAGGAGTCCACTGCTGTGCTATAGGGCTGGCCCTGTTTATTAAGCATCTAATATGTGCTAAGTGTTCATAGGTAAAGTCCTCTTAGTTGGGAGATAGAATGTATATCCAAGGCCAGCCCCATAGCACAGTGGTTAAGCCCTATGCATAGCACATGACTACTGTGGTTCGAGTCCCAGCCCCACTAGCTTGAAAAACATGCTGGGAGTATGTACCTCAAATCCTGGTGAGAGAGAGGAATGGAGAGAAGAGGATTGTGGTATGACCTCTCCACTCCAACTCCCTTTGGTAGCACATGTACCTTCTGACAATAAAAAAAAAAATTGAAAAAAATTTTTAAATAAAAAACAAAAAGCCTGCATCCACGAAATTATTAACAAACTAAAATAAGTGTTATATTAAAAGACAAAGCCTGGCCCTGTATGGCCGATCTTGATTTGAATAGCAGCCTTAAAGGCTTGAAAAAAATACCAGACATGCGTTTGCTCACAAGCTCAAAATCCTTACAAGATGGAGAAATGGAGGCAAAGGGACGATGGTGTGTCCATGTCCCATTGAGAGGTGGCTCTCCTTCTTTCCCTCACTCTGGCAACTTCATACACCTTCTAGAAATTAAAATAAATAAATAAATAAATAAAGGCAAGCTGGGGGTCCAGCAGGTGGCGTGGTGGCTAAGGATGCTGGCCCCCCACATGGCCAGCCGAGGTTTGAGTCCCAGACCTGGCAGCTTGGTTTCTCACTTTCCCTCCCTCTTTCTCTGTCTCTCTCTCACTATGTTCAAACTAAAATAAATAAATAAATAAAGTTAAATAAAATAATTCCTTAAAAAAAAAAAGACAAGTGGGAAGAAGCTATCATAAATGATAGGGGTTCTCATTATATATATACCTATGCTACATTTATGTGCACAACGTATGAAAAACTCTTTAAAACAATCATCAGGAGGCGCTGCCGTGGCAGTGTAAGCTGGAGGGTGCTGCAGCGTAGTGGCAAAGGCTGTATGGAAGGCCTGGATTTGGTTCCTCACCCACTCTCAATAGGCCAGGTGGTGGTGTGCCCCTGTGTCAGCCAGCTGAGAGGCTAGGGCAGAAGAATCACAATTTGATGAGACCACCATAAAAGCAAGTAATCAAAAAAGAAAAATATATCCACTCAGCTTTCTCAAAAATCAAATACATCTAGGCAAAAGGCCTTCCCTATCTGAATTTTTGCTGCTTAATGGCTGTGTTACTTAACTGAGGACTGCTGTTTTAAAGTACCACAAGTTAGGCAGCTTCAGACATCAGAAAGTTGTCTCACAATTCTGGAGACTGAAAGTCTGAAGTTAAGGTGTTGGCCGGGCCATGTTTACACCGAAGGCTCAGGAGCAGGTCCTTCCTTGTCTCTTCCTTATTTGTGGTTTCCAGCCATCGTTGCTGTTGCTTGGCTTGTAGAAACAGCACTCCGGTCTTGTCTCCGTAGACAGAGGGCATTCTCCCTGTGTGTCTGTGTCTTGGTTCTCTGCGTCTTGGTTCTCTGCTTGTAAATATGCATAGAGTCATTCAGGTGTACACATACCAGCCATTGGAGTTAGGGCCCACCTAATAATCATCCTCCCCAGGATCGATGGCCATGTTGCAGTCCCTTCTCCATTCTCCTCTCAGGATCTTGGTCACCCATGCACACACACTGTCATGAGTTTAAGCCACCAGGTCTGGGATGTGAACTGTGTTCGACCACGTGGGAGTCCAGTGATATAACCATTATGCCATCTCCTGCTCCTAACCTTTCTTTTTTTTTTAAGGTAGGGTCTTTCTGTTTTGCAATCTTCCTCCTGCTTCAGCCTATCTGCTGGACTATGTATGCAGGCTATCATGCCCAGATCTTTTTTTTTTTTTTTTTTTTTTTTTTGCTATAGGGTGTATGAGCTCACCAGAGACGCAGAGAGAGAGAGACAGAAAGTGAGAAATCACCCCCCAGGGGAGTGGTCGTGCTACAGTCCCTCCTCCATTCTCCTCTCAGGATTTTGGGAACGCACACACGTTACCCGGTGTGACTTAACCCTCTGGGTTCAGGACTTAAACCACGGTCAACAATATGGGAGTCCAGCAGTGATCATCATCATGCCGTCTGCTGGGCCCAGATGGTTCTTTTTTAAAGAGTTATTTATCTCATTTTATTTATTTTTTTTAATAATTATTTAATTTTATTTATTCATTCATTTATTAAAATTTGACCAGAGAGAGATACATAGTGCGAGAGGGGGAAAGTGAGAAAGCAAGCCACCAGGTCTGGTACTCAAACTGTGGTCGGTCATGTGGGAGTGCCCAGCACCTTACCTACCATGCTACCTGCTGGTCCCCTATTATTATTTTTAATCTGTGGTAGGACATGTATGCTAGAGAAAGAGGAAAAGTGAAAAAGCAAGTCTCCAGGTATGGGATTCAAACCACCTCTGACCATGTAGGAGTCCAGAGCCTTAACCACTGTGCTACCTGCTGGCCCTGCCCAGATCTTTTTTAGACACCGTCTTGCTATGTTGCCCAGGCCAGCCTTGGACTCCTGATCCTCTCACCTTACCCTCCCTGAGTCACTGGTATTATAGGCACATATCACCGCATCTGGCTTTTAGGTTAGTCTGGGACTTGAACCCAGCCTGTAGAACACGGCATTTTAGCAGCTTGTGCCTCTGGCTGAGCCAGTGTTCATCTTAACCTGATTATATTGGCTAAGATCTCATGTACAGGAACGAGGATTAGGACTTCAGGCGATCATTTTGGAGGATAGCACCTGCAGCTCAAGAACCTATTGATAGTAGATTAGAATAACACAGTACCCTTGGCTCTCTGAACTTGGTATCTAATAGTGAAATATTTGTCATTCGTAAGCATAGTAGAGACTGTTTCCACCTTCATTGGTGATCAGATAACAAAATAACAATGCTACTTTGCTATGAAGTGGTAAAAACAAACAGTGAAAGTACTGTGTTGACATAAGTGATGCGAATACAAATAAGTAGGTATGACATTTGAAAGGCAATTTGACAATGTCGTGTGATTTTAGGCATTCATCGTAAGATAATTCAAGAATGGCCACGAGGGACTGTCTATTACAGTAATTAGAAGCTGCCAAAATGTTATATAGCATGGACTTGGTTACGCGATGGGAGAGCATGCTATGAGACAGCTAAATAACATTTAATGACATGGGAAATTCATGATATTAAACTTTCTACAAGGCCTGTTTTTTTTTTTTTTTTTTTTTTTAAGTAAAATCTCGATATTTAAATAGATCTATTCCTGTTTAAATAGGCTTATTTATATGCCTGGAAATAGATATATGCTGTTGACATTAGTGATTATCCTCGGTAGTAGAATTACAGATACTTTTTTTCTTTAAGGTTTTTGCCATAGGGGGCATATACTTGTCGGAGTGAGAGAGAGACGGACACACAGTGAGAGGGGAAGTGAGAAATCACCCCCAAAGGGAGGGGCCATGTGCAATCCTTTCTCTTTTGTTCTCTTCCTGGGATTTTGGGTGCACATGCACACATGCCCTGTGTGATTTTCAAGCCCCTGGGTCTGGGACTTGACCTGTAGTCTGTCATGTGGGAATCCAGCCCTTAACCACTACACCACCTGCTGGGCCCTATAGATACTTAAAACTTTTAGTTATCTCTTTTCAAACTTTTCTACAATAAATGCATATTACAACTGGAATGAAAAAATATACAGTTCTTATAAACTGATATATTAAAGTTCTAAAATCTCATAATTGGAAGAAAGGATAGGGGACTTCAAAAGGTTCATGGAAAATGAAATTAAAGTATGAGTATTTATTAGCGCAGTTTTTTCTTTGATTTTTGTCAGAGGATGTGTACATTTACCATAGAGACACAGAGGGGGGGATAGTGAGAGAGCATCCCCATGGGGAGTAGTCATGCCACAGTCCCTTCTCTCCCTTTGTTTGGGATTTTAGGCACATAGGCACACATGCCCGGCATGTTTCTTAAGCTGCTGGGTCCAGGGCTTGAACCATTCAGTTGGCCATGTGGGGTCCAGACACCTTAAACACATGCTACCAGCTAGCCCTGTGCAAATAAATTTTAAAAACCCATGCATGGTAATTCCACAATACTCGCTTTCCATAGGTCCCTTATATTTAGTAAATGTTAATGTATGGCATATAACAGTAAATGTAATGTACTAAGAGGAAGGGAACGTTGGTGTGGTCCTAAGCAGAGGAAGGCTTTTCCAGGCAGAGTAGGCCTTGAAGCATGGATAGATACAGTGGGTGTAGATAAAACTGGTAAATTTTCTAAACATGAGAAATAACATGGACAAAGAATAAACAAAACCTTATAAGACAAAATAAATCACCCCCCGAGGGATGGCCATGCCACACTCCCTTCTCTGCCGTTCTCTCGCGAATTTGGGCACTCACTTGCATGAGGTGGTGTGATTTTCAAGCTGCCAGGTCTGTGACTTGAACAGTGGTCAGCCATGTGGGAATCCAGCACCTTAACCACCACGCCATTTTTCTCGCCCCCAAAATACTACTTTTAAAGCATGTTCTAATTCTCTTTTCTCATCATTCGCATAGATCTGGTCTTTATGTGCTTGAGTATTTGTACAAATACACACGTGTATAGATGTGACATTGCTTGGCCTTTGTTTTTAACAGGCTGATGTGCAAGTGCAGTTGATCAGCAAAGGTCGGCCAAACCCTTTGAAAAGTATTCTAAATGAAAATGACACGGTATTCATTGCAGAAAAAGTGGTAAGTTACACTCAGGCTATGTGGTTGTTTAATTCTTGTTAACCAAATTTGGTTGCTTGGAAATAATCTCCAATGTGCATAGTTTAAAATCAGCATTTAGGAATAGGTGCAGCACTGCCAGTAAAAGTATTATGTGAGCCATGTACGTAATTTTTAATTTTCTTCTCATTAAAAACAACAAAATGGGGACCAGCAGTTAGCGTAATGGCTATGTCACTGGACTCCCATGTAATCGACTGTGGTTTGCGTCCTGGACCCGGTGGCTTAAAACTCACACCAGGCGCGTGTGCGTGCGTGCCCAAGATCCCGAGAGGAGAATGGAGGAGAAGGGATTGCAGCGTGGCCATCCCCCCTGGGGGGTGATTTCTCACTTTCTGTCTCTCTGTCTCTCTCTGTCTGTCTGGCGAGCGCACGTGCCCTATAGCAAAAACCTTTCCAAAAAAAAAGAAATTGTTGCCAAGTAAATAAAATTGATATTTTTCTTTAGTAGTCTAGTTCTGTGTGTTTTAAAACATTGGAGGGCACTTCAGAAAGTTCATAGACCTTGAATTTAAGTCCAGGTTTATTTTGATGCAAAAAAAAGTTGAAATGCAAGTATAGTTTTTTTACAGTACTTATTTGTCATGGACATTTTGAGGAAGTCTCGTTTGTTCTTACAATCACTACCATAGTCAGGGTACAGAACAATCCTATCCTACCAGAGCCCTCCCTATGCTATTCCTTTATACATAATCGTACTTTCCCATTGGTCTTCCTCACTGTAGTTTTAAGTTTCAAAGAATGTCATGAGTAGAAGCATACAGTGTATTCCTTTTTCGTTTCAGTTGCCAGTAGGTGCTTGCACTTGTCAGAAGGAGGGAGAGAGGGAGAGAGAGAAAGAAAGCACCCCCAAATGGCTTGTGGTCATACTACAGTCCCCTTTCCTCCATCCCTCCTTCCCGTTAGGATTTTGGGCACGTATGTGTGCCTGGCATGATTTTAAAGCCAGCAGGGCCAAAATCCCAGCTGTGGGTGGCCATGAGATGGCTCCTTTAACTGCTGCACTGTGGTGCTGAGTTCAGTGTGTAACCTTCTGGTTCTGACTTAAGGTGCCCAAGTAATGATGAGTTATCAGGCCAGCTTGTGGCTTGGTGGTTAAGATGACTGGATGTCACCGGGCTCACAGTTCAAGTCCCTGATCCAGCAGTGTGAAAAGCATATCAGGCATGTATGGATTCATGCCTAAAATCTTGAAAGGAGAATGGAGGAGGAAGGATTGCAATGTGGCCATCCTCCCCAAGGGGGTACCCTCTCAACTTCTTTCTCAGTCTGTCTTCATCAAGTGCACCCACCCTGTAACAGAATTAAAAAAAAAAAAAAACAACAAAAAGAAAGGTAAATTACCTAGTGAAAAGTCCTTAGCAAAGAGAATTTTTGTAAATCTGATGGGTCTTCGGAGAAGTCGTGACACATTTTTCTAAGCCAATAGATTATGATACTAGTACGAGTACAGCTTGGAGCTATGAGACGTTACCTGGAGTTCAGAGAGACTAGCATTTTTGAATAGGGAACAATTAAAATGGCCTTTATTTTTGCAAAGATCAGTAGAATTTAAAGTATGTGTTTTAGGCTGGTGCATATTGAAGTGTAGATCAGAGGGGGAGATGACATTTCTTGGAGACCCAGTAGTTTTAGAAACTATTTGGAATGCCAGGCCTAGAAAGGAATAGACTCTGGAATCTGGAAAAACAAACAAACAAACAAAAACAAAAAAAAACAATTTCAAGACTCAGTAAAACATCTAGATATGAGACCTAAGTCGGCCGAGTCTACTGCCAGTAAGAACTTAGTGGTTAAAAACTTGAGTCTTGAAGTCTGGTTACCTGGTCTCCAACGCTGGCTTTGCCATCTAGCAGCTGTGTGACTCAAGACAAGTTATTTAACCTTTTGCCACCTCAGTTTTCCCAGTTGTAAGACAGGGATGATAATAATGTCTATATTGGGTTTTTATGAATAAAAGAGAACTTAAGACAGTAGTACAGAGTTATGCTCAAGAAATGCTAACTCAGCCAGTCTGTGTGTGGTATAGCCACTGGTTTACCAGACTGTGGAACTGGAAGCCGCCTAGTGACTGTGGTCAGTCCTGGCCTCGTCAGCCTGAAAACACAGCTCCAGACCCAAGCCCTGTCAAGGGAGCTTCTCTCTCTTAGGTAGTTTATCATGAATGTTTTTTAAAATGCCTCTTATAATTAGTAAGAGTTGGCAAGGCTGAGCTACTTAATCATTTTGTAAACATGTAGATATAAGAGCCATGTAACAGAAATGAGAGCTGATAGCCTTGAGAGGAGTCGATGAAAGGAGGAGGGCTGGGGACTCCGGCCTGCCTGAGTTTCACACCACCGGGTCTGGCACTTGAACCGCAGTCGGTCATACAGGAGTCCAGCGACATAACTGCTATGCCATCTGCTGGCCCCCAAATGATTCCTTTACCAGTAGAAACGAAGATTATCTTTTCACAGGATAGTGGAAGTGTTTTGATGACAAGATTTGTTGCTACCAAACTAGTTTGTGCTCTGATTGTTGTCAGAACCCAGTCATTTATGTTTAAAGATATAGAAATGAATACACTATCCTGTCCCCTAGCATAGTAAAGCATTGCCTACTCGAGGCTGGGAGGTGGCATGGTGGTTAAAGGTGTTGTACTCCCACATGGCCGACCGTGGTTTGAGTTACTTTCTCGTTTTTTCGCTCTCTTGTCTCACTCTGATCAAATTTAAAATAATAATTACAATGATAAAATTAAGCAAATGATTCTTTTTAAGAAAGCATAGACTGAGTGGTGTGATTCCTGACCAGGATGGCAGCAGTGGGTGAGTGGGCTCCTTCGGTTCCTCTCTGCTGAGATTGGATTCCACCTACCCTGGCGGCCCTTTGGCCAGCATGCGAGCATTGGGCAATGGCAGCACTGCAGCCAGCGACAAGGGCAGGCAGAACCTTTGGCCCTGCATCCTCAGCGAGGTCTCCACCTGCTCATGCTCCAAGCTCCCCGTGGGGAAGAATGTGCCACTGTTGGGTGAAGATGGAGCTGGAAAACAAGGTTAATAAGAAAAATTCAGGGATAGGGACAATCAGGCAAGATGTAATGTACAGCTCTCAGATGGACTTAGGTTTTCTCCAAAGGACACTGATTATGCCGGTTGATATGTCAAAGCCTTAGACTGCTTTGTATTCTTTTTTTTTTCCCCCGAGAGGTTTTTGCTATAGGGCACAGGAGCTCCCCAGAAAGACAGAGATAGAAAGCGAGAAATCACCCCCAAGAGGGGATGACCATGCCACAATCCCTTCTCCATTCTCCTCTCAGGATTCTTGGGCATGCATGCACAAGTACTCGGCGTGAGACTCGGCGTGAGTTTAAGCCACCAGGTCTGGGACTCAAACCACGGTCAACCACATGGAAGTCCAGCAACATAGCCATTATGCCATCTGCTGGTCCCCTGGTTTCGAGTCTTTACAGAAATGGGCAAGTGTTGTTAGAGACCATGTTGACAAACTGAAAATACCTCCTGAATAAATGAAAGAAATGGAACAAAAGCTGATTAGAGACTTCTAAGACTATGTGGAGCCAGGGGAAGACCTCCCAGCCTCGCCTGAGAGAACAAATACCACATCACAGGAAGACAAAGGCAACAGTATGGTTTACCTCTGGGTGCAGGGATGCACTTACTCATAACTCGGGCATCCCAGCACTTGTAGTTTGCACAGGGCGTGATGCCATTAGAGTACTGAGAAAGAACGTGACTATAGAGACGAACATTTGATTTTATTCAGTCACATATCCAGAAATTTTGTTTACAATATAGTGCAGCATTTACTTACACGTCAGTAAAAGAAACAAAAATATACATTTAATATATAAATACCTCATACAGAAACCATATGGATTTCTCTATAAAATTCCTTTTTTGTGGAAAAGGATGCAGGATTTATTCCAGCAGGATGGGAAAATGATAAGAAAATAGGAATATTACATGAAAATTTTTGAACATTAAGATAAGACAGTTTTGAAGACATCATAAGTAAACCACCCACTTGAAAGTTTGTACATGGGGCTGGCAAGTGGCGTGGTGGTTAAGGAGCTGGACACTGCCACATGGCCACCATGTTTGGAGTCCCGGACCTGGTGGCTCGCTTTCTCCCTTTTTCTCTCTCTCCTCTCTCTCCCTCTCCCTCTGTGTGCATGTGTGGTCAAACTAAAATAAATGAATGAGTAAATAAAATTATTTTTTTAAAATTAAAATAATTATTTAAAAAAAGAAAGTCTGTGCATAAAAAGGAAATTATGGTAGAAGATGACCAAGTGTTTCTTATGAAGCTACAGTCTCTTTTCCACCAACTGCAGCTGGAAGACCTGTGGGTGCCTCACCAAGAATTCCAGGAGGCTCTCCTCGAACTCCAAACAGATCTGTCCTCAAACGTTGCCAGTGTGTCACTCATCCCTGCTGGCTCAAAAAAAAAAAAAAAAAAAGAAGGCGTCCTGGCAGATTTCTTCAGTAGTTTGTTGAATGAAAAGGCAGGCTCTCAGGAGGCCCAGGCATTGGTACTGGGAGCCCTGGAGGCTGGGCCCGCGGTGGAAGCAGTGGTTTGTCACCCTCTGCCCAAGAGCCAGGCCAGAAGCCTGTTGTATCAGGTGTTCACACTGAACTAGACAGAATTCCGCGAAAAGCAGTGGCAGTCTCCTACAACACCTACGTCTCCTGCAGAAGGACAAGCTTCTTGAAGGTTCCGATAAAGCCACTTACTCAGTTTCTGGGGTAATGGACACCTGCCTCTGCCTTTTCCTTCACAAATGAAGTTAGGGGGTACTTTTTCAGGTGGACTAAATTTCTCTCTCTTTTGTTTTGGTTACCCATTTTTATAGAGTGCAATACAGGAAAAATGGAGCTATACAGAAGAAAAATTATTCTACTTTATGTGAGATTGGTATTTGCATTGCCATTTTGTGTAAGGAAGTAATTTTGAGTTGTGAAAATCTCAAAATTAATAAATTCAAAATAGAGCCATTGATCATACTCGAAAGGCTGCTTAAAGCATACAGGAGGGTTTAAGGAAGGGCAGGAAATACGCAGTTTGGGCACTTGACTGACTCGGAAGGCCAACCTTATTTTAGTTAAGACTATTAAAATCATTAAAAGAGGATTTTGTTACTTTTACTGAAAAAGAGAAAATGATCAATTGCCCGATTTTGCAAACGAACACACATGTACCTCCACACGTGGAATATGCCGAGAAAATTGTCACGTAGCATTCAATAAACCAGTCACCATCTCAATCAGTGACCCTGTACATTGTCATCAAGATGAATGAGAGATATTCGCCACACCTTTAACTGAGAAGAAAAGGAAGCCTCCTGCCTAAATGTGTGAAAGAAATGCAGAAGATACTAAAATGTAAGGAGGTAATTAGCAGTTCTTGGATGTGTGTGTGTGTGTACACACATCTGACTCTGCCTTAATATACCCCTTTGCTATTTGTGGCTTTCAACTGTAATCAGTTAATGTTCTCTGCATTCAGATTGGATAAAAAAAAAGTTGAACGACTGTCTTATGTGCTTTTTTAAAATCTGGTTAAATAATTGAAAATATTTTTACAGCCTTTAGAAAAGGAAGAAACAAGTCACATTGAAGAACTGCAGTCTGAAGAGACTGCCATTTCTGATTTCTCTACTGGTGAAAGTGTGGGGCTGCTTGCTTTACCGGTTGGGAGAGCGAGGTGAGTGAGGGAACCTTCACTGTCCGGCCCCAGCGTGCCTCAGCTGCGTCGTGGGGTGGGTAACGTACCTGGGGGCACTGGACATGTGTGGGAGTGTTTGGGGCTGTCACAGGATTGAGGGGAGCCGTGGAACTTGGAGGGTCTGGACGGCAGGTGGCAGATGGGCTGCAGTGCCTGGGACTCTCCTGCACAAGGAGGAGTGACCAGGCCCAGGCGCCAGCGCAGCCTCTGCCCATCTGGCCTCCCTTCCTACTCAGGTGCCCCTGCGTGGTCATGTGCAGGTCCTTGTGCCTGGCCTCCCCACCTCCCGCACCGAGGAGGAGTGCTTGCCTTCAAGTAGGTGTGGGGATAGTCACGTAGTAAGAATGCCAGCAGTAACTGCTGTGATGCCTACGGAGCAGCCGCCCTTCGTGCTGACTGGCTGCTGTGGTCTGTCAAAGTTTAAAACTTTCCTACAGCTAAGTAAATCCTTCTCCTTCCTGACTCTTTGATTTTGAGTCACATTTGGCTTATTTTTCCCTCCCCAAGAGCCTCAACATTTGTATTGTTTTCTCCAGCCCATGTTTGTTTGGATTGACACACATGCTTAGCATTTCCATTTGAGATCTTCTGGAATTACTGTACACCCTTTTTTATTATTATGATTTTATTTTCTGAGAGAAAAGCACCTTGACAGAGTCTTGTTACACCCGTGACCTCCCAGACATCCACGCAGCCTGTCGTCATGGGCATGCATGTGACCTTGACATGTGGAGAGCAGCCAGTTTGAGAAAACGTGGCCTTGAGACATGTGCACAACGTGCTGCTGTCAGCTCCTCTGGTAGGAGGAGAACAGTACCTGCCTGCTGTCAGTGATTACTCTTCCTACTATTGTTCATACCTGATGGCCTAATACCGCCAGTATCCGGCTAACGGAAGTCACATGCGTTTATCACATCGTCCCCCAAAAAGATCAGAAATTAAATGGCACCAGTCATTTTCAGACGATTAACATCCCAAAACAACTGACTTTGCATCCCATTTCCTCTTCCCCCATTTTTCTGCCCTTTAAGAAAATAACCCTGAGGCCAGTTTTGGTCGCAACTTCATCAGAGAAGGTGTGCCCACCCAGCCCTCACTTTTCTATACTTGTGTGTCTTCTTGTGTTACTGTGTCTATTTCCAATCCACAGCCTTCCCCACTCAGAAAAACATGTTCATGCCGAGCAAGTCCCAGCAGACGGGTCAGGTTGACCTGACACACGGGTCTTGCATGAGGCTCCAGCATTGCAGAACAGTGGCCTGCCCTGTGCCACCGCCACTGGGCCTGGTACTTCCTTTTCTGAAGGAAAATCCTTACAAATTCCTTTTTTGGGTGGCTTTCGTGTCTTTGAAAAAGAAAAATTTAGGGCCCATTTTTGGGTAATTTTTAAATGTTGATGTACTTACAAATTTACAGGAAAGTTACAAGAGTAGTGCAAGGACTTCTGTGTGCCCTTAACCCAGATTCGCTGATCATTTATGCTTTATCCTTGTCCTTGCCTCCTTTCCCTCTACTTCCTCCTCTCCATATTCATACTTGTAACAGTAAACACATAAAACAATATATACATTATATGTATTGATAAGTAATATATACATTGTTATAACAAATGTGATACGGATCATAATACTTGTAACAATACACACATAATATATGTAATATGCATATATAATATGTATCATTAAAACTGTGTATATGTAACACATTTTTACATGACATACTTTTATGAAGTATTGGCAGTATATTGGAAACATTGTACTCTTTTACCCCTAAATACTTACCTAAAAGCAAGTGTAGTATCTTTTGGAAATTTAACACTATTGCAGTACTGTTCCAATAGAGTTATACTTCAGTTTCTTCAAGTGTCTCAGTGACTGTGACTTCAAGCATTTTTTCATGTGCTTTTTGGCTCCTACTTATTTTCGTGTGTGTGGTGTTTCAGACAGGGTCTTGCTGTGTTGTGACCCTTCTGTCCCAGTCTCCGAGTAACTAGGACTATAGGCAGGTGCCACTGCTTGGCTCTTAGAGTGCTGGGGGTGGAACCCAGGTCTCCCCTGTGGCTCAACTATAATATATATACACATATACATATACATATATATATATATGTATATATGTATGTATACATATATATATATATTTTTTTTTTTTCGAGAGAGAGAGGTTTTACTCTAGGGCGTGTGCACTTGCCAGGAAGACAGAGAGACAGGAAGGGAGTTATCACCCCCCAGGGGGTTGGCCACGCCGCAATCACTTCTCCTCCATTCTCCTCTCAGGATCTTGGGTACGCACACACAAGTGCCTGGCGTGAGATGGGTCAACTACATGGGAGTCCAGCGACGTAACCATTAGGCCAACTCCTATTCCCATGGCCTCAGCTTTCTGAGCAGCAGCGTCAGCCAGCTGCTGTGGCTGGGCCTCCTCTGTGTCCTTAGCTCCTCTCACACACTACTTCTGCTCGCACCGAGCCTGCTCCCCACTCCCACCATGCAGAGCTCCCAACTCGTAGCAGCTCAGTCCTGTCACATGTGGTCACTTTCTGGTCCGTGCATCCTGGTCAGCCTGGAGTGCCCATTTCCAGCTTCTCCCCTGGGTGAAGAGTGTGTGTGTGTGTCTGTGTGTGTGCGTGTATGCGTGTGCGCACATGCCCTAACACTTCCAGATTGTTGTTTCTGTGAGACCCTTCATGATACCTGTTTTATTTTAATTGCCAGAGGGAGAGGGAGGGAGTGAGAGAGAAAGAAAACACCCCCCAATAGGGCATGGTCACACTATAATTCTTTATCCTCCATTTGTTCATCCTGTCATGATTGTGGGCACGCACGCACCTGTACCTGGCATGTTTTCCAAGCCACTGGGACTGAGATTTGAACTGTCGTGGGTCATGTAAGATCCAGCTTCCCATGCACAACCACTGTGCTATGGGACCTGCCCCATGATATCTTTATTTTTATTTTTTTAAGACTTTAGGGGGCATTAGGTGGCATGGTGATTAAGGGTGCTGGATTCTCACATGGCCAACTGTGATTCAAGTCCTAGACCCGGCAGCTTGCTTTCTCGCTTTCTCTCTCTCTCTCTCTCCCCCCCTCTCTGATCAAATTAAAATAAAGATAAATGAAATAATTCTAAAATCAGTTTTTGCCATAGGACGTGTGCCCTCTCTGCAGAGAGATAGGGGTGGGGAGGGGTTGCAGAGGATTGAGAAATCAAGTCCCAGGAAGATGACCACACACTGAAGTCCCTTCACCTTCACTCTCAGGATTTGGGCATACACACACATGCACCTGGTGTGATTTAAGCCCCCAGGTCTGAGACTCGAAACATGGTTTGATCATGTGGCATCCAGGGCCTTGACCACTATGCCACCTGCTGATCCCGCATAATATCTTTTTAAGAGAAAACTTTTTTTTTTTAAAGAGAGAGTTTTGCTATAGGGCACATGTGCTTGACAGAGAGACAGAGAGAAATCACTCCCAGAGGGAATGGCCATACCACAATCCCTTTTCCATTTTCCTCTTGGGATCTTGGGCATGCATGCATGGGTGCCCGATGTGTTTCAAACTGCCGGATCTGGGACTTCAACTGTGGGTGACTGTGTGGGAGTCCAGCAACATAACCATTATGCCACCCACTGGTCCCAAGGAAAGTCTTGATTGATCAGCAGTCTCTACCTGTAATTTGTTCTCACTGTTGTTTTCCAGGCAGTTAATTGGACTTTACGCCATGGCTCACAACCCTAATATGACCCACCTGAAGATTACCCGGCCAGTTACTGCCCTCCCTCCCCTCTGGGTACGATGTGATGGTTCGGACCCTGAGAGTACCTGCTGGCTGGGAGCTGAGCTCATCGTGGAGAATGGTAGTACTACAGGAGTCGTCTTGCACGGGGTCAGCTGTACAGGTGTGCGCTCCCCGTCAGTTCTGGACTGTGGCGCCCCAGTACCCTTAGAGGGGTTATCGTTTTCTAATATTTCAAAAATGTCATTTTGAATAATACCTTTAATTTTTTTTCTATGTCTTGTAGCAGATAAAAATTATTCTGTAAATCTTGAAAACCTAAAAAGTTCACACAAGAAAAGACATCACTTGACTACTGTAAGTATATTTCCTCATATTTTAATTAGTACCAACTTGCCTTCCTGGCTAAAAGTGTTTTTACTCCTAATATGACTAAATGCTTTTCTGTAGTATAAGCATGTTGATATTTCTTTTTGTGTGTGTTGATGACTAATCTTTGTGATTTGAAAGAATTGTCTTGTTGGGGTTAGCAGGTAGCATGGTTACAGTGCAGGGCTGCCACATGGCCAACAGCAGTTTGAATCCTGGACCCAGCAGCTTGAAAATCATGCTGGGTTGGGACCCTCAGATGGCATAATTAATGGTTATGTCACTGGACTACCACATAGTCGACTGTGGTTCAAGTCTCAGATCCAGCAGCTTAAAACTCATGCCAGGCGCATGTGCATGCATGTCCAGGAGCCTGAGAAGAAAATGAAGGAGAGGGCAAAAATCTCTCTCTCTCTTTTTTAAATTTAGTTTATTATTATTATTTTTAATTTACTATGGGACACATGCGCTCGCCAGAGAGACGGGGTGGAAAGTGAGATAATGAGCCACTGGGTTAGGACTGGAACCATGGTTGGCATATGGGAGTCCAGCGCCCCAGCCATCAGGCCACCTGCTGGCCCTGCAAAAATCTCTCTTAAAAAGAAAAAAAAAGAGAAAGAAAATCATGCTGGGCATATGTGCATGCATGCCCAAAACCCTAAGAGAGCGGAGGAGAAGGGATTGTGGCATGTCCAGCACCCCCTGGAGTGGGGGGAGTTCTCACTTTCCTTCTCACTGTCTCTCTCCCAAAAGCACATGCATCCTATGGAAAAAAAAAAAAAAAAAAAGAATTGTGTTGTTTTTCCATCTGGGGGGAAAGTATTAGTGGTACTTTTTCGTCTGGAGCCAGAATCAGAATCATTTGTTTTCTAATTGCCAGAGGATTTGTGCAATCATCAGAGAGAAAGAGAGGGAGAGAGCTCCCCCCAGTGGAGCCGGGTCATGCCATAATCCCTTCTCCTTCAGTTCTTCCTCCTGTCGGGTTTTGACATGTATGGACGCGTGCCCTTTTATTTATCTTATTTATTTATTGTTTTTGGAGAGGTTTCTGCTAAAGAGTATGTGCGCTTGCCAGAAAGACAGAGACAGAGAGACAGAAATTGAGAAATCAGTCCCTGGGGGGATGGCCACACTGCAGTCTTTCTCCTCCATTCTCCTCTCAGGATCTTGGGCACGCATACACACATGCCCAGCGTGAGTTTAAGCCACCGGGTCCGAAACTCGAACCATGGTCAACTACACTGGAGTCCAGTGACATAGCGATTAAGACAACTACTGGTCTGGTCCTGACTTGTGCCCTTTCAAGAGAGATTTTTACTGTAGGGCGTGTGTGCTTACTGCAGAGACAGAGAAATATAAAACGAGAAATCAACCCATCCAGCGGGATGGCCACATGACAGTCCCTTCTCCTTCATTCTCCTCTCAGGATCTTGGGCGTGCACACACATGTGCCTGGCATGAGTTTTGAGCTACCGAGTCCAGAATTCAAACGGTGGTCGACTGTGAGAATCCAGCAACGTAACCATTATGTCATCTGCTGGTCCTGCATGCCTATATTTTAAGCCACCAGGGCTGAGACTTGAACCTTGCTCAGCCGTGTCAGATCCAACCTCCTTAACCATTAGACTACAGGACCAGCCCTCAAAGTTGTTGTTTTTTTGTTTTTAATTTTATTATAATTATTATTTTGATTTGACCGGATTAAAAAAGCTAGCCTCCAGGTCCAGGACTCAAACTATGGTCAGCCATATCAGCCATGTGGGAGTCCAGTGTCTTAACACCCACGCCAGACAACTACTGGTCTGGTCCTGACTTGTGCCCTTTCAAGAGAGATTTTTACTGTAGGGCGTGTGTGCTTACTGCAGAGACAGAGAAATATAAAACGAGAAATCAACCCATCCAGCGGGATGGCCACATGACAGTCCCTTCTCCTTCATTCTCCTCTCAGGATCTTGGGCGTGCACACACATGTGCCTGGCATGAGTTTTGAGCTACCGAGTCCAGAATTCAAACGGTGGTCGACTGTGAGAATCCAGCAACGTAACCATTATGTCATCTGCTGGTCCTGCATGCCTATATTTTAAGCCACCAGGGCTGAGACTTGAACCTTGCTCAGCCGTGTCAGATCCAACCTCCTTAACCATTAGACTACAGGACCAGCCCTCAAAGTTGTTGTTTTTTTGTTTTTAATTTTATTATAATTATTATTTTGATTTGACCGGATTAAAAAAGCTAGCCTCCAGGTCCAGGACTCAAACTATGGTCAGCCATATCAGCCATGTGGGAGTCCAGTGTCTTAACAACCACGCCACCTGCCAGCCCCCAAATAGTTTTGACAATGGGCTTTTGGCCATGTGAAAGCATTGCTGATGGTCTGCTTGGGGACACGTTTTTCAGGTGACAGCCAGGGGCTTTGCCCAGTATGAGCTCTTTCAGTCCACTGCCTTGGACGACACAGTTGCCCCATCGCAAACTATGATCACTTTGGATATTTCCTGGAGTCCCGTCGATGAGATTCTCCAAACCCCTCCTCTCTCTTCAGCTGCAACTCTGGTAAGAGTGGGCTGTTTTCCCAGTGGGTGCACGGGGCCCCGAGTGCCTGCACTGCTTGTGTCACACGCTGGCACTGCACACTTCCAGCCCTAGCCATCTCTGGCTGTGAGGCTGGGCAGCGCTGGGAGCTGCTCTTGGCCCTGATGTTGCACTTGGGCAGCCAGTAGGTTTGCCAGGTGAGCGGAACTCTATGGCCCACAGTTCTGCGCTTGGGAAACTTGAGTTTTAAGAAAGCCTCTTGAGTGGGGCCTTAAGTGGAGTCATCAGAGTGACTAATTATCTGCTTTTTTAAGACCACAGATACTGGGAACACATCAAGAATTGCTGTACCGATAACCTGTTCACCCTCCGTTTACACTTTCAGAGCTCTGTCTTAAGAAATAAACAAAAATTTATGTACAGGATGTTCAATGCAGTGACACAGCTTTTTCTAAAACATTAAAAACAGAAGTCAAATATTCAATAAAGACAGATAAGATAGATTTCTGTGATGGGACAGCATACAGTCTTTTAAAATCTTGTTTTAAATTGTCTGTAATAATAGGAAATACTTATTAAACTAAAAAGAAAAATATACCAGATTATATATACAGTAGGATCTCAACTAAGTGGCTTCAAAAACTTGTACCCAGAAACCTGAATATTGATAACAGTGGTTCCCCCCCCAAACTTCATAGGGTTATGGATAATTCTTTATGATTTCTTTTTCCTGTTTTAGGAATTTATGTATATCAACATTCACTTTTTTCTTCTCCACTTTTTTTTTTTTAAGATCTTAATTTTTAAAACTTTGACCTCTAGTGAGAACAGCACTAATTTATTTAGAAGCAGTCAAGTAAATAGATATACTGAGGGATTTATTTTAAGTGTGTGATACTACTGTGTATCATTGGCTCTTGAGATGTATTTCTCCTGCCTCGTCCTCTCGGAAATCCATGGGCAGGACAGGAGAGCACGTGCGAGGGCGATTCCTTGGAGGTGCAGTTGTCTGTGGCCTAGAGCAGACATGATGGACTTCTGAGTTTAGGTTAGTGCGTCCGGGTGGCAGCGTCCGCAGTATCTCTGGGTCAGATTTGTCTGAAGTGATGACTTAAGTTTTCAACTCACTGACACTTCAGGAAATATATTTTTTTATTCTGGATGGTTTTAAATTCAAATAACTGTGACCATTTATACAGAAAAGATGGACTTGCCAGTGAAACTGACAGACTTTGCAAATGTTTTAGAATATTAAAGTGGAATCAGGAGAGCCCAGAGGTCCTTTGACTCATCTTCACCGAGAACTAAAATTTCTCCTTGTAAGTATCCTTTTGGAATTCCTAACTTTCATTCAATCTCGTGTTTTTGTATTTGCTAGTGGGTCTGCAGGTAGCATGGTGGTTAAGGTACTAGGTTTTCACATGGCTGACCGTGTTCGAGTCCCAGACATGACGGCTTGAAAATTGTGTGTGTGCGTGCACACACGCACGCACACGTGGCCTTGGGTGATTTCTCACTTTTCCTTCCTCTCTCTGCCTGTCTCTGGTGAGTCCACATGCTATTTGACAAAAACAAAAAAGTTTCGCTAGTATCAGTTTTACTTAGTATTTTTTGGGGAAGAGAGATTTTTGCTATAGAGTGTGTGCAGTCAGCAGACAAAGATAGATAGAAAGTGAGAAATCACCCCAGTGGGGATGGCCACACCGCATTCCCTTCTCCATTCTCCTTTCGGGATTTTGGGCACGCACGCACATGCACCTGGCATGAGTTTCAAGCCTCCAAGTCTGGGACTGGAATCTCAGTCAGCCATGTGGGAGTCCAGCCACGTAACCATTACACCATCTGCTGGTCTCTCTTTATGTTCTTCAAAATTTGTTTTAAAAATTTATTGCAAGATTTATGTATTCATTAGCTACTCATGGCAGCTTGGCCATCTAATTTTATTCACATGGTACCTGTCCTTCCAGCTTAGGGGAGGATTAGTTCAATACTTAAGAGCTGCTATCATCCACCTCCTCTACTGGAGTGCCTGATTTTTATTCATGTGATGGGCTGCCTTCTGTCCAGTTGGATCAACTGCTGATTTATTCCAAATGCATATATAATCCACTTGTTAATAAGTAGGATTTTGATCGATGCTAAAGATTAATGAGTGTATGTTTTAGGGACTTTTTGTGTCAGTAATTTTAGCTGTACTCCACAAATTGAATCTCAAGAGGGTGCCTCATTTTAATCCAGTAGGGATTCTAAATGTCTTAGCCTGGCATAAGAAGCCAGTTATGATCCAGCTGCTGCCCTCCTTATTTCTTTTTTAAAAAACAGCTTTATTAAGATATAAATTGCATCCATAGCATTGACTCACTTTGAAGTGTACACTTCAGTGGTTTCTGGTGTATTTATGCAGTTGTACAATCATCACCATAAATTTAGAACATTTTCATCACCCCAGAAGGGACCCTGTGCCCGTTTGCACTCACTTTCTACCCCCACTAACCCCCGGCAACCACTAATAGGCTTTCTTGAGTACTTCGTTCCTTTTCATTGCTGAACGACTTCCCCTTGTAGGGATTTGCTGCATTTTACTTATCCATTCATCAGGTGATGGGCATTTTCGTTTCTACTTTTTGTCTGTTACGAATACGAATAATAATGCTGCCATGAACATTCATGTGTCTCTCTGGTGGAGGTGCTGGGTGTTATGGTAACTGCTACCCTTTCCAGGAGCTGTAACCAGTTTCCAAGTAGCTACAGTCTCACAGGCAGTGCAGGAGGTTCCAGTTTCTCTACAGTCTCTCCCACACGTGATACCCTGTCCCATGTCCCATGATACAGCCGTCCCATGGAAATGGAGTGGTGTTTTGTTTTATAGTGAGGTGCGCAAGGAAAGTTACTTATTTATTTTAAGGAATTATTTTATTGAATTTTATTTATTTAAATTTCACCAGAGAGGGACAGAGTAAGAGAGAGAGAGAAAGCAAGTCACTAGGTCTGGGACTACGGGACTTGAACCACAGTCGGTCATGTGGGAGTCCAATGCCTTTAACCACCCCACCACCTGCCGGCCCTGAGAAAGTTATTTTTGACAGAATTTCACCACCTTCTGACCCAGTCTCTCAGTTAAGTAGGACCACAAGAACGTGCCACCACGCCCAGCCTGTATTCGAGATTGGGCCAGAACCAAACCGGACCTCCAGTGCAGCCTCCATCAGGAGACACTCGTGCCACTGCGGCTGGGCCTTTCCTTTTGGTTTCAGTTGACCATTCTGTTAACAACTTGGAGCTCCTTTTTTTCTTTCAAATTTGCTGTAGGGCACGTGTGCTCACCAGATAGAGAAAGAAGAGAGTGAGAAAGCTACCCCCAGGGCGAGTGGCCACACAGCAATCCCTTCTCTTCTATTCTCCTCTCAGGATTTTAGGCACATGTACCTGCCATGTTTTCCAGGCTGCCAGGTCCAGAACTCAAACCAGTGGGCCCTGTGGGAGCCAGAGCCCCTTTTTTTTTTTCTTGTCTTTCTTTTTTGTGGAGAGGTTTTTACCATAAAGAGACAGACAGAAAGCGAGAAGTCATCCCCCCAGGGGGGATGGCCACGCAGCAATCCCTTCTCTTCCATTCTCCTCTCTGGATCTTGGGCACACACGCCTGGCGTGAGTTTAAGCCATCGGATCCGGGACTCGAACCGCAGTTGGCTACATGGGAGTCCAGCGACATAGCCATTATGCTAACTGCTGATCTCCAGAGCTCCTTTTCATGTCTTAGCAGCTCCGCCTCTCTGTTCAGCCTCCTCCAAACCCTGCTTCTACTCCCACTGAACCTCCAGTGCTTGCTGTATTGAGCTTCCGGGTGTCTCCCGTCCTGTCACACACTGTCACTCTCCGACGTGTGCGTCTCAATCAGCATGGTTTGCACGTCTTCCCCTCTTTGCTGGGTAGGCGCTGTGACGTGTGGGCCTGGGCTGATGGCACTGGTCCCTCAGCGTGGCTTGTGCTCTGGGCTGCACAGGACTCTGCACCGCTCTTGTCAGAGGGTGTGTCAGACGTGGTCACCTGTTTCATTGTCCATCTCCTCTGTGAGATCGGGGTGCAGGTCCCTGGCGTGCCTTAAGCGTGAGCACGGGCCCACGTACCTGGTATCTTCACCTCCTGTTACTTTTTCCCTGTTTCTACAAAACTGGCGTAAATAGGCTTTTTCTACTTTTCTCACCTTCTCTTGAAAGCTTCTGTTTCAGAACCCTTACTGTGGGCCGTCATGCTTGCTTTTTGTTTTTTTATGATCAATTATCTAATTTGGTTCTTGGCAAGAAATTTAGAACACCAATTTGTGAGGATAAACTCCATTTGTAAGGGCAAACACAGATTGCAGGTAGCACTGGAGCTGAGGAGCAGCTTTGATTTTGGTAAATTTGCGAGTCCACAGCTTTCTGACCAACCTCGTGCTGCTCTGTCATCTCGTTTCTCCTGTGTCGAAGATCTCTCCTTCCTGGTATTGGAGCTTCCGCAGCTTCTTTTTCTTGAACTAAGCATTGGTAAAGTTCTTTGGAATTTTTACTTTGCTCATATCAGTTTTTGTGGAGGTGGCAATGACACATTTCTTTTTTTTTTTTTTAGAGGTTTTTGCTATAGGGCACTTGCGCTCGCCAGACAGACAGATAGAAAGCGAGAAATCACCCCCAGGGGGGATGGCCATGCCGCAGTCCCTTCTCCTCCATTCTCCTCTTGGGATCTTGGGCACACACGCACATGCACCCGGCGTGAGTTTAAGCCACTGGGTCCGGGATGCGAACCGCGGTCGACTATGTGGGAGTCCAGCAAAATAGCCATTACGCTAACTGCTGGTCCCGTCAATGATACATTTCTGATGCGTTTTACACAGTGGAACTTGATTGAGGACCAGTGGACCAGTCACAGGTAGCAAGCCACTGCTCAGCTGCTTCAGGAAAACCACTGTCTTGCCTCTGTGGCGCCCAGTGAGGATGATCAGAATGGTCCCAGGAGTGATGCTGGCTCGCAGCTTTCTCACTTGCTGACTGGAGGGTTTTTTGCCATGGCTCAACATCTTTTCAAGGCACATCTTCAGTAGGATAATACCTAGGCATTTTGTGCAGTTTTACCACCCAGGTACCACCATTCTTGTCCCCACCAACTGGCTCTGTGACAGTGGCCAGAACCTTCTCCTTTTTCTTTTCGATCCTGGGTTTAGTGGCCGAGTATTTCCTCTCATACGCAGCCTTCCTGGAATACGTGGCTGACCGGGAGTATCTGCTGATACTGGGTTCTGGCTGCAATGGGGCTTCCCCTTCTTGGGCTTTTTAGCATTGGGGTCACCCTTTTTAACCGTGCCACTGGCATCAGCCTTCTTGGCTTCAGGTTTTTTCTCCTTAGGATCCTGCTTCACAGCTTTTTCACCTGCCATCTTGTGTAGTGGGAAGAGAACAAAACTCTCCCCTCATTCTTTTCACCACGTTGCTCCCATCTCCCTCCACGGCCCCACAGAGAGCTTATCCACTCAGAGATGTGACTGGTGACTTTATGAGTGAATTGCAGACTCCCGTCTTTAAGCTGATGCCAGTTCCTATCTACACAACTTCACCAAATTATTTCCTACTTTGGTAGAATGCTGTTGCCTCCAAGTCACTATATCCAAAGGGAAACTCGATTTCTTCTCCCGACTAGATTCCCTTGCAGGGCCCCCATTTCTGTCTATTTCCACTGTCCCTTCTGTCACCCCATCTAGACCCATATACTTTATTTTGCCAAAAGCTATTTCTGCCCCTACTTCCTGCCCCAGCCAGAAGCTGCCGCTGCTGTGCGCCCTCCTTTGTTTTGGCCACGTGCTGAGAGCTCGTGAATGGAAGTGCTGGTTCAGCCCAAAAGCACGGCTGTTTGACGCGAAGGTCTGCGCTCTGTGACGCTCTGCCTTGTCCATCGGCACACTCGTGCGTGAGCATGTGACCACAGTCTCCGAGTTCAGTCCCTGTATTTCACAATAAGAAGAATTTTCCTTTTATTCTAAAATATACTTCTTTCGTTCACTCTGTCTTACATACTCTCCTTTTCCTACTTTTTAGAAAATTTTTTTCTTTTTAGAAATTTTTAACATATTTATTTCATCCCATGAGAGAGACAGAAACATAACATCCCTAACAAGATCTTTTTCTTTTCTTTTTTTTTTGAAGAGGTTTTTGCTATAGGGTGCATGCACTTGGTGTAAAGACAGAGAGACAGAAAGTGAGAAACCACCCCCCGGGAGGATGGTCACACCACAATCACTTCTCCTCCATTTTCTTCTTGGGATCTTGGGCACGCATGCACAGACCCCCAGAGTGAGTTTAAACCGCCGAGTCCAGGACTCAAACCATAGTCAACTATGTGGGTGTCCAGCGACATAACCTTTATGCCATTTGCTGGTCCCAGCCCCCAGCAAGATCTTGACATCACACTAAGCCCAGCTTCACCCAGCCATGGGCACGTGCATTCCCACTCATCAGGGAGGTCTCTGGACACAAACCCAGAACTTTCCTCGGTGGGTCAGCCTTGAGAAGTGTCGAGTGTTACCACTGAACCACTGTCCCGCCTCTTTTCCTTTTGTTCCTTTGCATCTCTCTCACTTTGTCCTAGTTAGAGCCTTAGCACCTCCTTCTCGGACCACTCAACAAATGATCATTTATTGCTTCTCTGTTACGATCTTGGGCAGGGCCAGTACGTGTGCTTTGAGACCATCTCACACATGTCTTGCCCGCCCCCAACTAAATGCCTAGGTGCTCCGATAGCCTAGTCATCGTGACGCCAGAAATCACCAGGTTGTGGGAAGTCATGACACGTTTTCCCATAGGAAAATATGTCATGGCTCTCCTGATGACCTAATGCCTTCGCATCTTTCCAAAGACCTTCTGGGAGTGGAGAATGGCATCGCTTCTATTGAGAACCATTGTTCTTTCTCTTTCTTGAAATCCATCTTGGGTGCTTCAACGGGAATTCTTAATTACTTGATGACATCATTTTTCTAGACAAAAGTCAGCAGTGGCTCCTGTGTGAAACATAAAGCCTTTTTACGCTGTATGCACCTCGGTGTTCTAGCCCCTATTCCTTGTAGTGTTTTTTCCTTGCCAGAAAGTGTATTTGCCGGGAGTGGGGGTGGGGGAGAGGGAGAGAGCACCGTCCAGTGGGGCCTCATGCTGCAGTCCCTTCTCCGTTTCTACATCCTGCTGACATTTGGGGCACACATGCGCACGGGCCTGGCATGGTTTTCAAGCTGCTAGGGTTAGAACTTGAGCTGTGAAGTTGGCCCTGTGGAATCTGGCTCCCTTAACCAGAAGCCCTTCCTGTGCTCCTATTTCTCAGCCTCGCTGGGGTGTTTTCTCCACCCTGGGTGGGATTATCCTGCCCCGTTCATCCTCGTCCATGCTCCCGGTCTGCTCTGTAGCGATGGTGTCCACATCTGAGGTGCAGCTGAAGGAAGCTGCTTCGGGACCAGACCGGCAGCCTGGGTCTTGAGTCCCCTGTACACTGGTGCTCCTGGCATCATAGTTGAGAATGCCATCCTCTGAATCACACCACCAGATGTATCCTGGCACTGTCAGTGACCAACTGAGTGACTGGGCACGCTTCCTAACCTCTCAACCTCGCAGTAATATCTACTTCATAAAGTTTTGTTAGAATTAAGTAACATAGAGACCAGCAGTTAGTGTTGTGGCTATGTCATTGGATTCCCATGTAGTCTATCACGGTTTGAGTACTGGACCCAGTGGCTTAAACTCACACCGGGCACATGTGTGTGCGTGCACAAGATTCTGAGAGGAGAATGGAGGAGAAGGGATTGTGGCGTGGCCATCCCCCCTGGGGGATTATTTCTTGCTTTTGTCTCTCTGTCTTTCTGGTGAGCGCACATGCCCTATAAGCAAAACCCTCTCAAAAAAAAAAAAAAAAAAAGAATTAAATAACATATTGCTTATAAGGCACTTCCACAGTGCCTAGTGTGTGATAAACACTTAAAATGTGTTACAGTAATTAGTACTATTAAAAATAAATTCTTATTTGTTAAACTATGTTTTCTGCTAATTAGTGTTTGGTTTTTTAATCTCCTGTAGGTTTTGGCTGATGGTTTGAGGACGGGTGTGACGGAATGGCCTGAGCCTCTGGAAGTAAAATCTGCTGTTGAACTCGTGCAGGGATTTCTGAATGGTGGTTGTTTTCATAGCACAATCTTCACATTGATTGTTTTTCACTGAGAATTTATACTTGCTATATTTAACTGTGTTGTCTTTTTAAAATTGAGATTTTCTTTGGTCGGGATATATATATAAAACTATGAGGTCTGTTATAGTTAGAGGAACAGCTTTTGTTCTGAAGTGCTCATTGTAAAGATCTAAGTAACTCTAAAAGTTATGATTTGACCAGAGAGAGAGAGAGAGAGAAAGGGAAAGTGAGAAAGCAAGCTGCCAGGTCCAGGACTTGAACCTTGATTGGCTATGTGGGAGTCCAGTGCCCTAACCACCATGCCACCTGCCAGCCCCAGAAGTTAGTAAGATTTGATTTAAATTTATAACAGTCATATCTGAGGCTGTAGGAAAGGAGGGCTAGAATAGTAACCTTCGAGGGCTTCCCATGTGCCCGATGCCATGTCAGAGGTGTCCTCATTACGTCGTATGTCCCCACCTCCCACCTGATGGGCATCCATTAGCTCCATTGAAGAATTCAGTGAGTTGCTAACATCTGTAACTATGCTGCTTCTACCCCCGTTTGCTCGTTAAGAATAAGGTTAGAATGGAAATCATTTTGAAGGCAAAAATATTAAAACTTGACATTTTTTTTAGACTTAAATAAGCTGGACGGATTTGGTGATTCTACAAAAAAAGACACAGAGGTAAGTGATAATCGTCAGGTAGAAATGGGCTTTGACGTAACTATTGAAATGTGGTTGTACTGTCTTTCACGCCGTACCATTTCAGGTTAATCTGGTCTAGTCGAAGCACCATCTGGGGATACTTTTACTAGTTTTTAATGTCGGCACTGGTGATTGTTTTCCTTAAGAACTGGTAAATATTTTTAAGGACAACTAATATGTAATAAAATTAGTTGCTCAGTTGCAGAGAAGTAGACAGAATAAGTTAATATACTATGAGATGGTATTGCTGTGCTGTACTACTATACTGCAAGATGATTCCTTACTATGTCACAATATGGTATGAAATCAAGTGAGATGTGTTATTTGTTAAATAGGAAAATGGAGACAGGTAATGTAATAAATATTTTAACATGAAAGGAGAGACGAATGCTTGATTTTAGGCATTATAATGGTTTTAAAACTTTAATATGAGAAAGCGTGCACACATGCTCAGAGAGAGACAGAGACAAGAGAGAGCGTGCGCCCAAGTACACATACCCCTCCAGTGGGCTTGGTCACCCTGCAGTCCTCCCCCCTCTAGTTCTGCCTTCCGTCAGGATCCAGGCACTGCCATGCACCCACCCCTCTCCACACATGGAACCTGTAGGGCTGGGATTTGAACTGTGATTGGCCACATGGGATCTGGTTTCCTCTGCTCCACGCTTAACTGCCATGCTACAGGGAAACCAATTTTCAGGGTCCAGTTTCTCACTGTCTATTGATGTGTATCTTTTCATGAATGAAGTTGTAGAAAATGTGTCCACATCTGTCTTTGTGTGTGTTCATGAGTCCACAGTTTCCCAGAGCATTTGGAAGCTAAAACTATTTCATTTTTTAAAAATATATACACCTGGGGCCAGCTAGTGGCATAGTGGTTACGGTGGCTAGATTTCACATGACTGACTGCACAGTTCGAGTTCCAGATCTGGCACTTTGAAAAACATTCTGGGTACTTCTGTGTGCCTGCCCAAAATCCCAGCAGGAAATTGGAGGGGTGCCATGACTATCCCCTGAGGGGTGCTTTCTCATTCTCTCTCTCTCTCTTCCTCCAGTGAGCGCACACTCCCTATAGTAAATTAAAAATATATATATGGTGTGTGTGTGTGGTGTATACATATACATACAGAAATGGAGTGGTGTCTGAAGCATGCTTCTTTTTCAGACAGTGAAGCATGATGCTGCTGCAATCGATAGGTCCCTGGAGTGCTTCACAGTGCGGGGCGATCTTGATTTTGCTGAGCAGCTGTGGTGCAAAATGAGCAGTAGTAGGTATCTGTTGTGACCTAATTTTCCCTGGTGTTTCTCTCCGTTTTTTTAGGTTTTTGCCGTAGGGTGCATGCACTCACCAGAAAGACAGAGAGAGAGAGACAGAGATAGAGAGAGGGAAAGTTAGAAATTATCCTCCATTGGGCATGGCCACCCCGCAGTCCCTTCTCCATTCCCTTCTTGGAATTTTGAGTAGCACACGTACCTGGTGATTTTCAAGCCACCGGGTCCAGGACTTGAACTGTGTACAGCGCCTTAACCACTATGCCACTTGCTGGCCCCTTTCCTTTTATGTGTAACTAAGGTTACTATTTAAATCTCTAGGAGAGAAACCTGTGTGTACTGCTAGTCTTCTGTGGAAGTCTGATTCCTGTTTTATCGCATTGATTTCTAGCAATGCACTGGCACATTCTGCTTAAAATTTGTATAAGGTGATTCGTATAATCCATTCCTTTTTCTAAAAATGTTTGCCATAAGGATTGTGCACTTGCCAGAGACAGACAGAGAGAGGGAATCTGAGAAATCGCTGTGGCCATGCTGCAGTTGATTCTTTTGGGATTTGGGGCACATATGCACACAGGCCTGGTGTGATTTTCAGATCACCAGGTCAGGGACTCGGAAGCGTAGTCAGCCATATGGGAATCTAGTGCCTTAACCCCCATACCACCTGCCAGCCCCTGTAGAATCCATCCCTGTCTCCTGCTTTGTAAAGTACCATCATGTACCATGTAAGGATGTTTTGGTCAACAGTGAACTATATATATAGTGATGGTCCAGTAAAATTATTAGAAAAAAGAAAATATAGTTTTTATATTTTACTAAATTATTTTTTTTTAATGATCTGGGTTTGATTTCATTCTTTAGAAATGCACTAAGGGAAAGTAGGTGGAATACTGTTAAGGCACTGGATCCCATCTAACTGACTCCTTGGTTTGAATCCTGGACCCAGCAGCCTGGAAATCATGCTGGGCTCATTTGTGTGTGTGCCCAGAATCCTGAGAGGAGAGCACGGGGAAGAGATTGTGGCAGAGCTATCCCCCTGGAGGATGATTTCTCACTTTCCCTCTGTCTCTTTGTCTCTCTCTGGTAAGTGCATGCACCCTATAGCAAAAAAATCTAAAAGAAAAGAAAAAGAAATGCATTAAATTTCTTTCTCCTCATTTGATTTCTTTCCCATTTTCTCATCCATCAAGTACAAATCCTTATATTCTACTTTGAGTATCCTAAAGATTAACGACATGTTTGATCTGCAGAAATACCATGAGAATAATGTGTCACCTTGTTTTCCCAGGTGTGGTTTCCTATCAAGACGTGGTGAAGTGCCTCACTCTGGTCATCCAGAGTCTGCAGCGTGGTGACATACAGCCATGGGTAGGTTTACACTCGGCACTAGAGCATGGTGCTCTCCGCAAGCTGCCCGAGTCTGAATGCCACTCTGCTCCTTTCTTTTTTTGTTTAGAAAGAATTAGTTTATTTAATTTTATTTATTTATTTAGATTTGACCAGAGAGAGACAGAAAGTGAGAAAGAAAGCAAGCCACCAGGTCTAAGACTTGAACTGTGGTCGGCACTGTGGGAGTCCACTGCCCTTAACCACCATACCACCTGTCGGCCCCAGCCACACTGCTACTTTCTAGCTGCGTAAACTTGAGGCAGGTTCCTGTTACTCCTCTGTGCCTCAGTGTCCTCATGCGCGAAGTGGAGGAGGGGCATTGCCCACCTCACAGTGTTGTTTCAGGGTTGACTAGCTTAATTCATGTCGGGCACCTCATGCTGAGCTCAGTTACGTGCTCAGCGTGTATCACCATGACTGATGTCGTCGTTAAGTCTTGTGGTGACTGAGCGTCTCATATACTTCTTTTTTTTAATTGATTAATTAATTTATTTTTATTATCATAATTTTGTTTATATTACATTGAATTGCATATAACTTTACAGTGTATTACATTACTTTTTCAAAAGAGATTGCCATGCATGTCAGTCAATACAGAGACATTAAATATCTTTTCATTGTTTTTTTCCGATTATTATTATTATTATTATTATTATTATTATTATTATTATTATTATTATTATTATTATTATTATTATTATTATTATTATTATTATTTTGGGGGGAACCAGCAGTTAGCGTAATGGCTATGTCACTGTACTCCCACATAGTTGACTGCAGTTTGAATCCCGGACCCGCTGGCTTAAACTCACGCCGGGCGTGTGTGCGTGCATGCCCAAGATACCGAGAGGAGAATGGAGGAGAAGGGATTGCGGCGTGGCCATCCCCCCGGGGGTGATTTCTTGCTTTCTATCTCTCTGTCTCTGTCTGTCTGTCTGGGAATGCACACGCCCTATAGCGAAAAACCTCTCCAAAAAAAAAAAAAGGAAAGAAAAGATTAAATTTAAATACCCTCATTCATATGGGGTCATTGGAAAAGTCATAATGCATTTTAGCATATTAAAACATGAAAAAAAATATGGTATGACTTTTCTGACAACCCAATACTAGTAAAACTTTGTAATTGATCCCAGTGTCCCTTCTTAGTGGAATGTCTAAATAAGTAATGATAGAGCCACTTAATGGCATATTTAATATTTGCTAAAAGTGATGCTGACACCTTATCTGGAGAAATATTTACAATATTCAGTAAAAAGAAATTGTTTAACAATGTACATTTTGTGGCTGTGTGGTGGTTTAAGGCTTGGGACTCCTATGTGGCCGACTGTGATTCAAGTCCCACACATGACAGCTTGAAAAGCATGAGTGCCCAAAATCCCAGGAGAATGGAGGAGAAGGATTGCAGTGTGGCCATCCTCCTTGGGAGGTGATGTCTCACGTTCCTGCTCTGTCTCTCCGCAAGTGCATACACCCTATGGCAAAAACCTTAAAACAACCAAAAATCAAATGTACATTTTGGAAAGAAAAATCTGGAAAACAGATATGTTAAAATCTTTTTTTAAAGATTATTTATTCAATTTGATTTATTATTTTTAAATTTGCTATAGATCAAGTGCACTTATGAGAGAGAGAGAGAGGAGAGGAGAAGAGGAGTGGAAGGGAGGGGCAGGGAGGGAAAGTGAGAAAACAAGCCCCCACTTCCGGGACTTAAACCACAGTTAGCCATGTGGGCATCCAGTACCTTAACCACCATACCACTTGCTGGCCCTAGATATGTTAAAATCTTTTTTAAAAAAGAATTATTTCTTTATATAATTCCATTTGTCATTGTTTTTAATTGACCAGAGAGAGATAAAGAGAGAAAAAGGGAAAGTGAGAAAGCGAGTCGCCAGGTTTGGGAATCAAACTGATCGTCCGTGTAGGAGTCCAGTGCCCCAAACACCGTGCCACCTGCCAGCCCCAGATATGTTAAAATCTTAATAGTAGTCACTTCCGGTGAAAGAGTTACAATGACTTTTCCTATTACATTATGCATTTCTGTAATTTATGAATTTTCCACAGTGAATTTGTGCTTTTTTTTTTCCCTTTAGATTTTTACTCTAGGGTGTGTGTGCTCGCTGGGGAGAGACAGAGAGGGAAGGTGAGAAATCCCCTCTGGGGGAATGGCCACACCACAGTCCCTTCTCCGCTCTCCTCTTGAGATTTTGGGCATACATGCACACAATGCCTGGTGAGATCCAGCACTTTAACCATGACACCACCTGCTGGCCCAAATCTATGCTACTTTTCAACCAAGAAAAAGTAAAAGGATTCTTCACTTAATAGGAATTATTTTAGATGATGCGGCTGCCAGTTCACGACTAAAAGTTAAAAACTTTGTGGGTATGAACAGAGCCGCACTGCTATAGGTATAGCTCTGCCTAGCTGCACATGAGCTATACCAGGCCGTTTAGCGTTTGCCATTGATTTGTCCTCTTTAGAATTCTGTGTTTGGGAGATGTTTACAGGTAACCTTAAGTTCAGTGAGTGCAGACAGTGAGACAGCATATCTAAAACACAGGCCCAGCTGTGGTAGTGCTCAGGTAGTGTCACTGCTTGGGCGGCCAGGGACCTGATAGACTCGGGTTCAGTTCCTGCGCCGACCTGAATGTGCCCAAGCAGAGATCACAGCGAGCCTGGGAGAGGCAGAGAGAGACAGGCAGGCAGGCAGGCAGGCAGGCAGACAGAGAGGAGGTATTTTTGACAGGATCTCACCACGTCAAGATCAAGATCCTCCTGACCCAGCTTCCCTGTAGCTAGGAACACAGGCGTGCCTCTTCATGCCCAGCACAACTAGGCTGGGCCAGGACTGGGTTTTGTGCATGACGTTAGCCATTGTGTAGTGGAACCCTCTTGTTTGGGCCATGGTGTTAGGGTCACTGATGCTTTTTTAAACATTCTTTAAAGAATTATTTATTGATTTCCATTTGTTGTTGTTGTTTTTCTTTAATTTGACCAGAGAGAGAGAGAGAAAGGGAAAGTGAGAAAGCAAAACATGAAGTCTGGGATTTGAACCACCGTTGGTCATGTGGGAATCCAGCGCCTATAACCACCACGCCACCTGTTGGCCCCACCGATGCTTTTTAATTTGCAAAGTGTCAAGTGAAGGTGTTGGATATCAGACAGTAACAAAACTCTGTGACACACGTGTGACTGTTGAGCAAGAGGGGGTTTGATTTTCTGCAGCAACAGATTCTTGGCGTCAGTGATTTTTGGAAAAATTAGCGCTTAAATCAGCCAGGAAGAGTGAGAATTTCCAGGCGTAAAGCTTAAGGGGACCAACTCTGACTTCTCACTGGTGGAATTATATCCAGAAGTGATAAGTTTAAATCCTTAGTCGCTTTGGACTTAACAAACAAATGAGGTAAAAATGGCTTTTAGAAGCTGACGCATTTGTAGCTTAGGGCTCTTGTTGATACAATTTATAGTCCAGGAGACTAAGAAATCAAGCTCATAATTTTTAACTTACAGCTAGTGCATTTTGCTGCTCTGTTGCTTATTGGAGTTATTTGCATTTATATTTATGGCTTTATTAAATGTTCTTATTCGCAGCTCCACAGTGGCAGTAACAGTTTACTGAGTAAGCTCATCCATCAGTCTTACCACGGAGCCATGGGTGCAGTTTCTCTCGGTGGGACCATTTCAGTCCAAATGCTTCTGGAGATTGGCTTGGACAAACTAAAGAAAGATTATATCAGTTTTTTTATAGGTAAGTTCCTTTCCCAGCTCAAGATCACAAGGTCTATCGCAGTTATCAGCCCTCTGTCGCCTCACAGCTCACTTCTTGCCCTAGTCATCTGTAGTCCTGGCCTTGCACTTGGGAGACAGACATTGCCCTTCTTTGGACTGTGGTTTCCTTCTCAGTGAAGATGTTAGATTAAATAATAAAACCATGATTTTTGTTTGTTTTTAATTCAAATATTTGAGAGTCTATGCGGTTAGTATAGTAAATGAAAGGCTTTTATATGAAGTGCTCTCTTAATACCCCACACCTGGCTGTTTGTATTGGGACAAGCTGTTTAAGAATAAGCACTAGTTGGACCAACAGTTAGCATAATGGCTATGTTGCTGGACTCCCATGTAGTCAACCATGGTTCGAGTCCCAGACCCGGTGGCTTAAACTCACGCCAGGCGCATGTGCGTGTGTGCCCAAGATCCCGAGAGGAGCATGGAGAAGAAGGGATTGTGGCGTGGCCATCCTCCCTAGGGGGGTGATTTCTAGCTTTCTGTCTCTCTGTCTTTCTGGCAAGCACATACGCCCTATAGCAAAATCCTCTCCAAAAAAATAATAAATTTTTAAAAAAATAAGACTAGTATACATTTATGATCTAACATGCCTATAAATTAGACTTTTTTTCTTTTTTTAGTTTTGCTACAGGATATGTGTGCTTGCAGAGACAGAGAGAGAGAGACAGTGAGGAATCACCCGTGAGAGGGGATATCTATGCTGCATCCCTTCTCCATCCTCCTCCCGTGATCTTGAGCACACTACACATACGTGCCCAGCGTGATTTTCAGGCAGCAGGACCTGGGACTCAAACTGTGAAGTCAGCTACTTGGAATCCAGTGGCTTAACCTCCATGCCACCTGCTGGCCCAGAGATGTGACCTTTTTGGAGGAACTAGTTAGCCTGACCATCTCTTTTATATATGAACTATGAATGATCTTACTTAGGTTCCTCAGCATGTAATACACAGAACTTAAAAACTTATGCGTGTGTATTTATTTTGTTCTAAATAGGTCAAGAACTTGCATCTTTGAACCATCTGGTGAGTTTATTTTATTTGTTTATTAAAAGGTTTTTGCCTTAGGGCATGTGCACTGAGATGGGGAGACAGACAGTGAGCGATAAAGTGAGAAATCACCCCCTGGGGGGATGGCCATACCACTGTCCCCTTCTCCATTCTCCCAGGATCTTGGGCACACACACACGTGCCCAGCCTGAGTTTCAAGGCACCAAGTCCGGGACTCGTATGGTAGTTGGCCATGTGGAAGTCTAGCTGCTACAACATCCAGTGGCCCCCTAACGTTTGTCTTGTTGTTGTTTTTGTTTGTTTGTTTGTTTGTTTGTTTGTTTGTTTGAATTCAGTTATTCTGCCTGTAATTACTAAGTTAATACTTGTAATATGGCAGCCCAAGTCCTAGGTCTTAGGAAATAGCTAGGTAAGACAGTTACCGGTCTCGCTGTGTTCCTGCCTAATAAGACCAGAGCAGTAGTTTTCGCAGTGCCACTTCTCATTCGCTGTAAGCTCTTGAAGCTGATGTATTGCTGCATCCTGCTTAAGGTGGTATTATCACAACTCTTCATCTAGAATGGCTAGGGAATGCCTTTTCTTTTAAGGAATTATTTTATTTAATTTTTTAAAAAATCTATTCATTCATTTATTTTAATTTGACTGGAGAGGGACAGGGTAGGGAGGGGGAAGGGAGAAAGCAAGCCACCAGGTCCAGGACTTGACCCGCCATGGGCCTTGTGGGAGTGTCCAGTGTTTCACCACCACACCACCCTATGGTCCCCGGGAATGCCTTTTTTGATAGGTCCTGTAAAGGATTGTTTTCTTTTTTTTGTTTTTTGTTTTTTTTTTTTTTGAGAGAGAGGGGTTTTTGCTATAGAGCACATGCGCTTGCCGGACAGACAGAGAGACAAAGAGATAGAGAGTGAGAAATCACCCCCCGGGGGGATGGCCACCCCTTCTCCTCCATTCTCCTCTCAGTATCTTGGGCACACACACACGTGCCTGGCGCGAGTTTTTAAGCCACTGGGTTCGGGATGCGAACCGCGGTCGACTACATGGGAGTCCAGCGACATAGCCATTATGCTAACTGCTGGACCCAAGGATTGTTTGTTTTATATTCCCTTGATCTTGATCCATTTATTGAGTTGTCAGAAAAGTCATGATGCATTTTTGCATAGAATCACATAGAAAAACATATCATGGCTTTTCCCGAGACCTGATATATTGCATTGGGAGGATTATTTTCCAAAGAATTGATGGTGCTATTTAGTGTATTGATTTAAGAGATATTTGTGGATCCCTGGTCGTCATTATGAGCTTCGTTATATTTCTCTAGTGCGTTGATTTAGAAATTTCAGAAAATTGAGCTGCATCTATACAGATCTTTAACATTCATTGGAAGATCCTTTTGCAAATGAATTTATAGTATCAACTCATTTGTCATTTATCTTTTACAAATATACAGTGGAAAAACTAGCTGTGTTTATTATGCAAAATAAGACTCAGCTGGATTCTTTTGAAGTTAATTTTTTCTATTCTAATTTTAGAATTTAAAGTGTTATTATTAAAAGTACATATTTTGGGGCACCAGAAGTTGGCATAATGACTACGTCGCTGGACTCCCATGTAGTTGACTGTGGTTTGGGTCCCTGACCTGGTGGCTTAAACCCATGCCGGGTGTGTGCGTGCATGCCCAAGATCCCAAGAGGAGAATGGAGGAGAAGGAAATATGGCATGGCCCACCCACCCTACCGGGGGGTGATTTCTCACTTTCTGTCTCTCTGTCTCTCTCTGTCTTTCTGGCAAGTACACACACCTTATAACAAAAACAAACCAAAAAAGTACATATTTTTGGTAGAAACAGGCTTTAGCAAGAAAAGCTTTTATATATGTTACATATGTGACAGTGGCGGACCTGCTGAGTAGAGATTTGGTATTTTTATACTTTTTTTTTTAATTTAGGAAAAAAACTGTTTTTCTTCCTTTTTTTGTTTTGGGAAGGTTTTTGCTATAGGGTGCGTGTGCTCTCCAGAAAGAGAGAGACAGAGAGATAGAAAGTGAGAAATCACCCCCTAAGGGATTGGCCACGCTGCAATCCTTCTCCATTCTCCTCTTGGGATCTTGGACCCGCATGTACACACGCCCAGTATGAGTTTAACCCACCGGTCTGGGACTTGAACCACTACATGGGAGTCCAGTGACATAGTCATTATGCTAACTGCTGTTCCCCCACCTACCGGTTTATCATGGATTATTCCCTTAGGATGTTTTCTCAGGCATGGTATTGGAAGATCTGAGCATATTTATTAACATGCATGGCCAAATTTCTTTTCCAGGCCAAATTTCTCTTCCTGGAAAAGAAATTGTACCAATTTATACATAATATTTGATGGCAAAGTTTGTCAGTATGCTTCCTTAATTTCTTGGTACTTTGGGTTTATGATCTATTGGGTTGTCAGAAGTCATGGCACATTTTTCCATAGAAAAGCAGAAAAAATATGACTTTTCCGACAACCCAGTGTTTTTAGAAATGGGTACATCCATCAAGCGTATTGGGTGAAGACTCATCTTGCAGATCTGCGGTCCGTTCTGTTGGAGGACGTGGTGGGTGGCGTGGGTTACCCACACGGGCTCCCTGGGTGGAGCCATTCTGTGAGAGTACGTATAATGAGGTGCATTCTCTAGACATTCTCAGCGATGATGTTACTTACAGTTTGGAAAATAGCGTTGAAGGATCGCTCAGTGGTTAAACGCTGTGCAGAGGAAGCCCCTCCCACATGGCCAGTTAAGGTTCAAGTCTGGCCCTGGCGACCTACAAAACATAGCGGACACTTGTGCACATACCTAGCATCCTGGCAGGGTGAAGAATTGGAAGGAGGATTGCCGTGTGACCAGGCTGTGATGGGAAGTGCTTTCTTTCCCTGTCTCATGTGCATAGATACACCCTCTGGCATTAAAAAGAAAAAAAAAAGTAACACTGAAAGGTGGTAATTCCTTTTTTTTTTTTTTAAAGAATTATTTTACTTAACTTTATTTATTTATTTACTTACTTACTTTTTAATTTGACCAGAGAGGGACAGAGTGATAGAGAGTGAAAAAGAGAAAGTGAGAAAGCAAGCCGCCAGGTCCAGAACTTGAACCGCAGTTGTCCATGGGGGAGTCCAGTGCCTCTAACCACCATGCCACCTGCCAGCCCTGAAAGGTGGTGATTTCTATGTATCTGCCTCCTCTGTCTTTTCCTCCCTGTTATTAGACACCCAGACTTAGACGTATGGGCATAGCCATATTCCTTCCAAACACTCTCCTCCTCTAAGTGTCTCTTCTGCTTATCTTTTTATTTATTCCAGGAATACTTCACTTCCCCATCAGTAGACATCCAAGAACAGGTTTACCGTGTTCAAAAACTCCACCACATTCTAGAAATACTAGTCAGTTTCATGCTTTTCATTAAGCCTCAACATGAACTCCTCTTTTCTTTAACACAGTAAGTACTTTCATATTGTTTATTTACACAGAAGTGTTTTCTTCCTCTTCTGAAATAACTGCAGCCACAATGTGTACGATTTTTATTGCCAGGTAGGATAGACCTGTTCACCCTGTCTCCACGGTAGCAGGGTTCTAAGTCAGTGTTCTAGAAAAGGCAGACTCTGGAGTCCAACAAAACTAGATTTAAACATCGGCTGTCATGCACCTTCCTTGGCAAGCTTCCTTCCACTGTTATCTCACCTGTAGGAAAGGTCTTGTAACCTCACGTGGGTGTTGTAAGGATTAAATGTCGTCATGTATAAAAGGAACCTGACACTTAATAGGTGCTTGGTAAATATGAGTTGTCTCCCTTCCTGCATCTCTTAATAAGTTTGGATCAAATCAGTCACTGCCAGCCCCCCATACAAAAATCAAGCAGAATCAAATGGTATTACTAGACCTCTGTCAATAGCACTGTTGTAATTAGTTTTGTTTTTTTTTTTTTAAGAATTACTTATTTTATTTGTTATTGTTATTTTTAAATTTGACAAGAGAGATAGAAAGGGAAAGTGAGAAAGCAAGCCGCCAGGTCCGAGACTCAAACCATGGTTGGCCATATGGGAATCCAGCGCCTTTAACCACCACGCCACCTGCCGGCCCCTGCTGTAATTAGTTTCTATCAGGTTGATTAAAGACAGTTTGGAATAATCCTCAGATACGGACTGCGCTTTATTTGAGGCCTCACATGAAATAAATGAACGGTTGCCTTTTCTGAAACTGAATTTGCTTTAGTTGTGAAAGGGAAAATTTGAAATTGTTATTATTTGTAGGACCTAAAAGATTTCTTTTTTCTGGGGTCACATGGTCAACTCTAGTTCGAGTCCCAGACCCGGTGGCTTGAAAATTATACCAGATTTTGGGACCAGCAGGTGGTGTGGTTAAGTCATTGTATACTCACATAGCAGACAATGGTTCAAGTCTTGGACCTGGTGGATTGCTTTCTCACTTTCCCTCTCTTTTTCTCTTTCTCTCTCTGTGTTTCTCTCTGGTCACATTTTTAAAATATAAATTAATAAATAAATAAGTTAAATAATTCTTAAAAAGAAAGAAAAAAGATTACACCAGACGCATTTGTGTGTTGTGTGCCCAAGATCTCAAGAGCACAACAGAGAGGGATTGTGGCATGGCCATCTGTCCTGGGGTGTGATTTCTCACATTCTCTCTCTCTGTCTTCCTCTGTAAGAGAAAGATACATGCCTGAAGGCAAAAGCCTTAAAAAAAAAATTAAAAAAAAAGAATTCTTTTTTCTATCTTACTTACTTAAATATAAGTAATATAAATGAACTGAATTAATTCTCCAGATTCTAAAAACCTCAGAAGCTGTATCTTTGTCTTGCTTTGGCTACAAGCTGAAGTTTTTCTCTTTCTGATCCATTTTTACCATGCAGCCTTTATTTGGATGTAACTTAAATATATTTTATATTGAGAAATATGTCTACTAATAATTTTTAAGTTAATGAGATTTCCTTTCAAAGAGAACATAACCTAAGTTGGTGGGATGTTTTATTTGTTTTTTATTTTCATGGCTCTAAAATTACTCTTTTGCTTGGTGTTGTGGTCAGTAGTACTCAGTAAGATATTTCCCTTATGAACTAAAAACTACCAGAAAGCCTTTCAAAAATCTCTTTTTTTCAAAAGCAGTTTTTATTTTTTAGATCCTGCATCAAATATTATAAACAAAATCCCCTTGACGAGCAACACATTTTTCAGCTGCCAGTCAGACCAACCACTATAAAAAACTTATATCAAAGGTAAGCAGTTTGATCATTAAATTATCCCTTAGGGCCGGCCACGAGCCTAGGCGACGTTGTGTCCACGTTCTGCCCGCCTCGTGACCCAGAGCCGCTTTACTTGTAGAACCGTAATCCTCGGCTCCCGCTCTCTGCCCATAACCTGACATTTCTTCCCCGCCTTCTCCCAGGCCTTGCACTAGCTCTGCAGGTCTTGAGCCTTTACTTGTCCTTTCTCTTTCTGGAGCTCCGTCATAGACGAGAGCAGGAAGTGTAACTAGACGGGCCAGCAGGTGGCGTGATGATTAAGGGTGCTGGACTCCCGCATGGCTGACCGCGGTTCGAGTCTTAGACCCAGTGGCATGCTTTCTGACTCTCTCTCTCCTCCCCATGATCAAATTTAAATTTAAATTAAAAACAAAAAGTGTAAGTAGAAGGGAGATGGCAGATTGGGAGGGAGTGGTCAGGGTAACGACAGCAGGGTCCAGGCCCTGACTGGGAGTGAGGGAGGGGTTTGGGACTGGGGAGGCAGGGACTCGGGACGAAGGTGTGGGTTGGTCACCCACGGGAGCACTGAGGCTGCCGCGGTGACCGCCGCTCTGGCCCTTCCCTCACGGCAGTGCTGTGCTCAGGCTGGAGGGCTCCAATCGTACGCGCCTCTGTTGAGATCCTTCTCAGGCAGGTCCCCGTCACTCCTGAAACGGCGCTGGCAGTGGTCACCATGGCTTCCTAACTGCCACACCCAGTGGACATTCAGTATACGGCTGTTCCCAGTGGTGCAGTTAGCTGGGCCCCGTTCTTTCTCCTCGGTAGGCGCATGTAAGGCCAGCAGGCTTTTAGCACTACTGCCTCTTTCAAAGATTTTTTTTTTTTTTTTTTTTTGCCATGGGGCATGTACATTTGCCAGAGAGCGAGGTAAAGGAGACATTACCACTCAGCAGTCCCTTCTCCTCCATCCTTCTCTCAGGATTTTGGGCATTCACACATACTCTCCCAGCATGTTTTTCAGGCTGCCAAGTCCAGACCTCAGACCACGCAGTCAGCCATGTGGGATCCAGCACCTTAACCACCAGGCCACCGGCTGGCCCAGCACACCTGCCTTCTTAACCTGCCCCCTTCTTCGTTCCTGTGACTTCGCATTTTGTCTTCATTTTAATTCTACCTCTGTGGCCCACATGCAATTCTGGGAATCCTTCTTCCCTTGTGTTCTCTGCCTGCTATGTGAATTTCACCCTCTGCTCTTTTTTTTTTTTCTCTTTCTCTCTCTCTTTTCACTTTCTGTTTTCCCTGGCGGAGTGCGTTTATCCCATGGGCCAATGATAATTCATAATCCATGAGCCCAGCTTTCTCTGAGCTTTGGACCCAAGTTCCTAAATTCCTATTATAGTTGAATCTCCATTTCACAGTCCTATAGGTTGTTCAGACTAAAACCTTGTCCTTTTCAGTCCTTAGTATTCTCAGAAATTAAGAGAGTAGATTTCAGGTGTTGTCACCACCAAAATGGTAATTATGTAAGGTAACGCTATGTAATGTTGATCAGCTCTGCTTAGCCATTCTACAGTGTGTATATGTTTCAGAACGTCAGGTGTACACGATAAATGTGTACAGTTTTATTTATTACATAACAGGATAAATCATGGGACCAGCTGTCTCTCTGGTGAGCACACGTGCCCCATAGCAAAAATTTCTCTTTAAAAAAAATAAACCAGCATTCTGAGGTCAGCAGGTAGTTAAGGGAGCTGGATCCTACCAGCCAGCTTCGAGTCCTGGACCTGGAGACTTGAATGCCAGGTGCTTGTGCATGTGTGCCTAGAGTCTCAACAGGAGACGGGATTGCAGCGTGGCCATCCCCTGGGGGTGATTTCTCTCTCTGTCTCCCCTTCATCAAATACACACCTTATAGCAGAAACTTAAAAAGAAAGCCCTCATCCCTAACATTTTTTCCTTCACCTGTGGTATTTTATCTTTCAAGTGACTATCATTAATTTGTTCCTCAGGCCCCAGACAGAAAGCTGGGACTTGCTCTCCTCGTCGTCCCTCAGCCCCTCCTCTAAGCGGTTACCGAGTCCCAGCCTCTTGGGAGCTCTGGAATCCGACCCTTTGTCCACGTCCTCACATCATCGTCCTCACATCATCGTTACTTTACTGCACTTCTGCATCGTTCACACCTGGGCGTGGTAAACGCCTTTCTAACTGCTCTCCCTGCCTCCATTCTCTTTCTTTTCTACGGCACTCTGTGTCTTAAAATTCAAACCCTGCACGGCCGCCTTCGGCTTCACTGAGTCCTCATCATCACCCTCGGGACGGTGTTCCAGTGCCTGGGTGTGGTCCGTGAGCCTCCTGTGTGTGGCCTCTGCTCCTTCCTGGCCTGTGTGCCCCCATGTTTCCCGTTTCCCTTTTGAGTCAGGGGATGCGTCATTGCACTTCCTCGGTCTCTACGCTTCGCCCTCGAGCCTGTGTATGTGCCCCGTCTTTATCTGGGAGCCGACCTGCTCCTCCCGGGCTCACACGCAGCTCAAGTCCCACTTTCTGAGGGCTCTTTTCCAGCTCCGCAGGCCCCAGTCTGAGCTAGATTCCTGCTGCTTGCTGTCTCCTCGCATATCCAGTGTTTCTGTTACTGCTTTTCCCACTGAATTGTTATTTATGGACTTGTGTTTTCCCCTTTCCTGACTATACTTGAGGGTGGGAATTTCGACCTTCTCTTTTCCTCAGTGCTTGCTACGAGAGGGCGTCAGTTAGTAGCTGTAGAAGACATGGAGGAGGCCCGGGCCTGGGGCATAGATGGGAGGGCTCTGCTGTGTCGTGGCTGAGGTACCGGGTTGGGTTCCCAGCCCAGCCTGAAACAGGTGGTGTGGTGTGGTGTGAGCCTATGGTCCAGGTTGACTCAGGGGACGGGAACGGAGGATGACATGGTGAGACTGTCAAAAATGCAAGGCAGGCCCACCTGGGAGGTACCAGGTTCATGTCTGCGCACCTCCCTGAGCATACGGGCTGTATGTGTGCCCCTGAGCTGGCTGGCCGGGGTGGTTGTGGTGTTAAGGCCTATCTGGGGGCGTATCTGTCATTCTCTCTTTCTCTGTCTTACTCATGGAATAAATACATACAATTTTTTAAAAAGTACCTATTTCTCCTTTCCCATGTGCACACTTTCTTTCTTATTAAGAGAACAAGAGGAAAAGAAAAAATGTGGAGGAAATAGCTGTTTAAAGTATTTTTTTTCTTTTGATATGTTTTCCTTAGTGAGAAGCCACAGAAGTGGAGAGTGGAGATAAACAGCGGTCAGAAGAAGGTTAAAACGGTTTGGCAGCTGAGCGACAGCCCACCTGTAGACCATCTGAATTTCCACAAACCTGGTAAAGATGGCTTATAATCTATTCAGATAAGTTATTTCAGTACAAAGTAAACTCTTAATAAATAAATCTTGCTAGTAAGGGCTCTCATTGTAGTTCTTGTGCCTAGTTTTAAATTGTTTTCCTGAATTCTTGCTATAAAACATGTGTATTCTTTTATTAAAAAAAGAAAAACTGCCATGCTTTTTGAGCATGTGTAATGCCCAGACAAATTCAATGTGTAATAATCAAGAGAGAGAGCGTCTTTTCTCGTTACCCCAGGTAAAGGAACTTTAATGAAAAGAAGTCACACATTAGGGACGTAAGCATAAAAATGGGCCGTAAGGAGGAGTGCCCACTAGCAGGTCAGGCTTGGCTGCGCTGTTCACCACGGGGGCTGCGAGCACTCCATCGGAGGTCAGGCTTGGCTGCGTGATTCCCCACAGCGGGGCTGCGAGCACTCCATGGGGGCTGGACCCTGGTGGTCACAGAGGTCTCTTAGCCCCGTGCAGTTCGCTAGCCCTCTGAGTCTTCCTCTTCCGCCAGCGCCTCGTCTTGTGCCTGTGGGTTGTGGGTGCTCTTATCTCATTTACATAGGTCCTAGCGGCTGCCTTCAGATGTTGCAAGGATTATCTGACAATAATCTGATAGTTCTGGCAGGATCTAAACATTTCAGAGGCCTATAAGCCACCACTGCTGGAAACACAAATAGTTCTGTTTTACTGACTAATACCTTATAAAATTTTATCTAGAAAATGTGTATTCCCCTCTTCTCCAGATATATTTAGATTGAAGCATAGTGGAATTTCTGTCAGTTAGAAATTGTGTTCACTGGTGCTGGCAGGTGGAGTGGTGGTTAGGCTGCTGGACTCCCACGTGGCCATCTGAGTCCCAGACCTCATGGCTTGCTTTCTCACTTTCCTCCTCTCTGCCCCCCCCAACGATTAAATTAAATTAATAATAAAATTAAATAAATAAATATTTTTTTTAAAAAGAGAAATTCTATTCACATAGCCAGACTACAGAAGTTCTAAGGAAACTGAAAGAATTTTCATGAGCACCATCAGTTAAAATCGTGTCATGTTGGCAGGACAGTAGGTGGCGTGGTTAAGGGCGCTAGACTCCCACATGGCCAACCATGGTTCAAGTCTTGGACCTGGTGGCTTGCTTTCTCACTTTTCCCTCTCTCTGTCCCTCTCTGGTCCAATTTTTAAAAATAAAACAGGATCCAGCAGGTGACATGGTGGTTGAAGGGGCTGGATTCCCATGTAGGTCGACTGTGGTTCAAATCCCAGACCTGGTGCCTTGCATTCTCACTTTCCCCCTCTCTCTGTCTTTCTGTGGTCAGATTAAAAAATAATAGTAATAATGAATAAAGTTGAATAAAACAATTCTTAAAAAATAAAATACAAAGTAAATAAAGTTAAATAAAAAAAATTTTTTTAAACAATTGTGCCATGTTTTATTTTTAAGCATGATATGAAACGTAGAAGCTATAAAAGATCAAAAACCAACTGTGTAAAAATAGAAAAATGTCTGGGTCCAGCAGATGGCATAATGGTTACATTGTTGAATTCTCACATAGTTGACTGTGGATTGAGTCCCAGACCCAGCAGCTTAAAATTCAAGCTGTGTGTGTGTGCCCAATATCCCAAGAAGAGAATGGAGGAGAAGGGATTGTAGTGTAGCCATCCCCTGTGGAGGGGGGGATTTCTTGCTTTCTGTTTCTCCAGTGAGCATATACACCCTAGAGCAAAAATCTCTCCAAAAAGCAAAAAGGAAAGAAAAATTTCTACATGGGAAAAAATGCCAGAGGCAGAACAACAGTGAATAATAAATTAGGAGAAGAAATTTGCAGCATTCAGAAAAAATATTTGTATTCCCTGGTATGTAAAGAACTTTTTTTTTTTTTTTTTTAAGGGATCAACTAATAATTGAAATAGGAACCATTACAATCAACATGTTTTTGCCAACGAGAAATAAGTTTGTTTTTTTCCTGTAGCATAAAGATCTATGCTTCGGGATCGCACAAACTCTTGGGAAACATCTGGCGCTGTCTGCGGAAGGGTCTTCCCTGCAAAAAGTAGTTAAGGTGTTTGAAGAAGTGATAGTTGGCTTGCAAGAAGTCAGGTGAATGTGGCAGATGAGGCAAAACTTTGTAGCCCCATTCGTTCAACTTTTGAAGCATTGGTTATTGACGTGTGGCCAGGCGTTGTCCTGGAGAAGAATTGGGCCCTTCTGTTGACCAGGGCCAGCTGCAGGTGTTGCAGATTTTGGTGCATCTCATCGATTTGCTGGGCATACTTTTCAGATGAAATGGTTTTGTTGGGATTCAGAGAGGTCTAGTGAATCAGGTAACACCAGACAGTGACCATGACCTTTTTCTTCATGCAAGTTATGCTTTGGGAAGTGCTTTGGAGCTTCTTCTCGGTCTGACACTGAGCTTGTCGTTTCTGGCTGTTACCTAAAATCCTCTTTCCTTGCATGGCGCAGTCTGATCCTGATGTGGTATAGTGTAGAGTAAGAGGAGACTACACTTCAAAATGATTTTTTTTCGGTCAGCACATGAGGCATTCACTTAGCAAGCTTTTTCACCTTCCCGATTTTTTTCGAATGCTGAATGACCACATGATGGTCGTTGTTGAGTTCTTCGGTAATTTCTCGTGTAGCTGTCCAAGGATGGATCAGTTTTGATCATTGCTTTCAACTGGTTGTTGTCCACTTCCGGTGACTGGCCTCTGTGCGCCTCATCTTCAAAGCTCTTGTCTCCTTTGCGAACCTCATTACCCACCACTGCACATTGTTAGTAGCTCCTGGGCCAATGCTGCGAACTGTTTCTGCTGTCTTACAACCCGCTTTGAGCTCGTGTTAGATGCCTGGAAGTTACTTTTTGTCTGGCATCTTTTCTATAGTAGTAGTTTGGAGATCATCTGTTCTGTCCAGGAAGACATTTAGTGCTGCTTCTCTTTCCAACATTGTATCAATATTTTGTGCCATAACTTTTTTTACATCAGCCTCTTGACTCTTCATTATGGAAATAGTGCCGTCATCTTGGGTTGTATTATATTTCACTTGGCTTATATTTGTTGAAAATCTACAGCAACCGCATTTGAAGGAGAGAAATGTTTTGGTGGCATAAAAGGATTTCTTGTGAAAATATCACTAACTCGTTCCAGAAACTCAGGTGGTTCACAGTATCCAAGGCATCAGTAGAGGCCATATGGCAGACACAGCTGATAGGAGCTGTGGTGAGAGCCAGCTCCGCCAGGACGCTCGGCCATTCGTAATGCAGCTGCAGGTGCTCGTCACAGTGGCCGGCCCACTGAGGGGAAGCTGCTGCCGGCCTACCTGCCCGCACCTGCCTCCGAAGGCTTTCAAATCAATAAGAAAAATATTCATTCACTCCATAGGATAATGGGCAAGTAAGATAAAGAGTTTACTAAAAAGGAAATATAAATGTCACCTGAAAAATAAAAGGTATTGAACTCTACCTGTAATAAAAGAAATGTAATTTTGTATTATACAAGGGGGTGTCCCAAAGTTCATGGAAAATGGAATTAAAATATGAATTTATTTTTTGGTCCAAAAATATTTTTAATTCCATGCATAGTTTTTTGGAGAGGTTTTTTGGTTTTTTGTTTGTTTGTTTGCTATAGGGCGCATGTGCTCGCCAGAGAGACAGAAAGCGAGAAATCACCCCCCTGGGGGATGGCCACGTCTCAATCCCTTCTCCGTTCTCTCAGGATCTTGGGCACACACGTACATGTGCCTGGCGTGAGTTTAGGCCACTGGGTCCAGGACTCGAACTGTGGTCGACTACATGGGAGTCCAGCGATGTAGCCATTATGCCAACCGCTGTCCCCCATGCATAGTTTTTTTATAAGATGTAGTTCTGTGAACTTATTGAAGACCCCTCATTGAGACAGCATTTTTCGCCTGTCAGATTAGTAAAGATCAGAAAGTTTGGTGCTGCAACGCTGGCTAGGGGAGGCACTTGCCCCTCACACATGCCAGTGGGGTTGTGAGGTGCACAACTTCTGTGAAGAGTGGCATCCTCCAGTGTGGAAACAGAGCTCGTTCTTCTTTTCTTTCTTAAGAATTATTTTATTTAACTGTTTGTTTGTTTGTTTGTTTAAATTTGACTAAAGAAGGGGGAGAGAGAGAGAGAAAGAGAGAGCAAATGAGAAAGCAAGCTGCCAGGTCTGGGACTCGAACCACGGTCAGCCATGTGGGAGTCCAGCGCCCTTAACCACCGTGCTGCGTGCCAGCCCCCAGAGTTCATTCTTTGACCTAGCAGTTCCACTGGTAAGAATCTATCCCGCATGTCCAGTTATACCTGTGCAAATAGACCATGAGGAAGGCTGTTATTGCAGTGTCGTTTACTGTAGCAAGAACACAGACTGGGGTAGGAAAGTACCTGGAATGAGACGGACACACCGCAGCCCTGAGGCGTGGCATGCGATGGCAGGAGGCGCTCTCAGCATCGGTTCCACATTAGAACCATCTAGGGAGCTGCGTTTCTTGTTTTTAATTGCCCGAGAACGTATGTGCTCACCAGAGAGGGATTTGAGTGGTGGCTGGCCATGCTGGATCCACTCCCTTAGCCACGAGATTGCAGGGCTGGCAAGAAGTTAGACTTTTTATCCACTAGACTGAGTGCTTAGGTCAGATGCTAGCCTTTCATGATGTCTAATTGTCCGATGCTTTCTTTTCTTTCTTTCCTTAAAAGGGAGATTTTTGCTATAGTATGTGTGTGCTCGGCAAAAAGACAAGAAATAGAGAGAAAGTGAGAAGTCACCCCCCGGGGGGATGACCACACCACAATCCCTTCTCCATTCTCTTCTCAGGATTTTGGGCAGGCACACACACACACACGACCCAGCATGAGTTTCAAGCCAACAGGTCTGGTACTTGAACCATGGTCGGTCATGTGGAAGTCCAGCACCTTAACCACTGTGCCATCCGCTGGCTCCTCTGATGTTTTTTTTAATAAAACAATTAACATCCAAAGCAGGGAGACTTAGAGAGGAAAGTGAGGGGCCAGCAGGTATTGTGGATTGGAGGAGAAGGGACTGCGGCACGTCCTTCTCTCTGGTGAGTACATGTGCCTATGGCAAAAACCTTACAAAAAAGGAGGGGTGGAGGGGAGAGAAAGAAAAGAGTACTTTTAGCTGCCAAGGAATGATTTGGAACTATCGGGGTAGAAGCAATGTCCAGTGGAGTGCAGCTGACCTAGCAAGTGCTGGAAATGGTTGTTGATAATGGTGAAAATGTGGGGGGAGAATGTAGGCCTACATGGAAGTGAACACAATCCCTTTTAAATTTTAGTTTGACCAGAGAGGGACAGAGAAAGTGAGAAAGCAAGCTGTCAGGTCCAGGACTTGAACTGTGGTCGGCCATGTGGGAGTCCAGCGCCCTTAACCACCACACCACCTGCCAGCCCCGGATCATTTATTTTTACCATACAGTGGTCTTTGGAAGAGCAAAAAGGGTATCTGCCTAGATACACAACTACAAATCCTAAGTAGAATTTCTTATCTGAAATACATGTTCTGAGGGGAAAGAAGACCGTTGATTATTTTTTAATTTATTTTTAAAGCTGGGGTCTGCAGGTAGTGTGGTGATTAAGGGCACTGGACTCCCATGTGGCTGACCGCAGTTTGAGTCCCAGACCTGGAGGCTTACTTTCTCATTTTCTCTCTCTCTCTCGTCCCTCTCTGGTCAAATTGAAATGAATTAATTTAAAAATTGATAATAAATAAAGAGATTTTTGCCTTAGGGCACATGCACAAGAGAGAGAGAAACAGAGGCAGTGAGAAGGAAAGTAAGAAGTTCACCCCCCAGGAGCCATGCCACAGTCCCTTCTCCATGCTCCTCCTGGGATCTTGGGCACACGCACTCACATGCCCAGTGTGGGTCCAGTGTTGGGCTGCAGTCGGCCATGTGGGAGTCCAGTGATATAACTGCCGTGACAATTGCTGGCCCCAAGAAAACAGTTGTTTAACCCTTTTTAATGTGCCACCAAAGATAACGCAATAGGTTTCCAAATTAAAATTATATAATTATTTTAAAATGTGCTTTATTTTTTAGGTTAGTTAATCAGGTTTTAAATGCAGAAAGAGGGCTTAATATTTAAGTGAATTATCCTTTTCGAGCTTTGTCTAACAAACTCTCTTATAGTGGGAGGCACACCATTCTGCTGCCTCTCAGCCGTTACGAAGTCTGCATTATTCCTGAGAGAAAGGCAGGCTGGTAAGCCATTCTGATCTCTCTGTTTCTCTGGTCATAGATTTTTCTGAACTAACACTCAACGGTAGCCTGGAAGAAAGGACAGCCTTTACCACCGTGGTTACCTGCAGCCAAGTGCATTTCAAGTAGAGCGTGCTGAATGGGTCCCCTGGGCCGCAGGTACATGGTACTGTAAGAGTGCGTTGCTTTTAGTTGCTTCGGCCACATACATGTTTTTAAGTGTGCTGTAGTGTGTGTGTGCTCGTCAGAGACGAGGGCAGTGGGCAGTGAGCAGGCTTCCAGCGGGGCATGACCGCACTGCAGTTCCTTGGTTTTTGTTCTCCTCTTGTGATCTAGAGCATGCACACACATGCCTGGTGCGATTTTCAAGCTGTTGGGTCTGGGACTCAGACCACCCAGTCAGGCATGTGGGGTCCAGCTGCCTCAGCCTCCATGCTACCCCAGCAGGCCCCATATGCGTTGATTTAATGCATTAGGAATATGGACTATCAGCAATGTTGTAAAAGACTTGAGTTACTGAGCTGCTGAAGTCCTTCATCTCCTCTCTGCCTTTGGTAGTCAACCTAACAGGTCAGTTTGATCTTTTTTTATTTTAATTTTTAAAGAATTATTTATTTGTTCGTTATTGTTACCTTTCGGTTTGACCAGAGAAAGACGCAGAGAGAGAAAGTGAGAAAGCAAGCCACCAAGTCGGGCACGCTAACTGTGGTTGCCCACGTGGAGTCCAGCTCCTTTAGCCACCACGCCCCCTGTGCGCACTGGATCAGTTTAATCTTAGAAACAGGGAAATGGAAATAAATGTTTTTGAGTCAAAATGCCTTTGTTTTTTTAAATCTATCTATATACAGCAGAGCGAGTTTGATTTTGAAAACATTAATGGGAGAGAAAAATTCTGAACATAGACCAATTTGACATTGAAAACAAAGTTTTGTTAAAAACAATTTTATTCCAGCAGTTACAGGACTGGGACTGGCCCCCAAAATAAATGCCCTTTTAAAAATGTTTTGGTATATGGGACCAGCAAATGGCATAGCAGTTATGTCACTGGACTCCCACATGGCCGACTGCCATTCGAGTCCCGGACCTGGTGGCTTCAGAATCACACCAGGTGCATGTGCATGTGCACCCAGGACTCCAGAGGGAGAAGTGATTGCAGCAGGGCATCCTTTTGAAGGGTGATTTCTTACTGTTTTTCTTATTGTCTCTGTTTCTATCTGGCAAAAACTTTAAAAAAAAAATAGCATTTTAGCATTTTTAGTTAAGGATAAAATGGTCCTTAATTTTAAAAACAAAATATCAGGACTCAGAAGCTGACATGGTGGTTGAGGTGTTGGACTCCCACATGGCCAGCTGCAGTTTAAGTCTTGGATCTGCTGGCTTACTTTCTCATTTTCCTTCCCTCTCTGCCTCTCTCTGTTCAAATTAAAAATAATAATAATGGGGCCAGCAGATGGCATGGTGGTTAAAGTGCTGGACTCCCAACATGGCTGACCACAGTTCAAGTCCTGAACCTGGTGGCTTGCTTTCTCACTTTGTCTCTCTCTCTGTCTCTCTCTCTCTGGACAGCACACATGCCAAGTAGCAAATAAAAAATAATAATAATAACTGTGAAGGGAGTCTGATCCCATATGACCAGCTGGTTTGACCCTCTGCCCCAGTGGCTTGAAACATACCAGGCATGTATGCGCATGCCCAGGATCCCGCTGGCTGGGGAAATGGAGGGAAGGGACTGCAGCCTGATCAGGCCGGGTAGGGGGGCTTGTGCTCGTGCTTGCTCTCTCCCGAGGGTCCCTGCTAACACGTGCCCTGTGCTTTAAAACAAAAGCTAACAGAATACCCAGGGATTTAGAGGATCTGTACATTTGTACCATTTCTCTGCAGTATTTCATTGATTGAGGTGTGATTCGAGTTTGAGACCAGCGTGTGTGGTCACTTACCTGGCGCACACCGAGGGCTCGTCCTTGGCTGGCTCCTGGGGTGTGAAGCCTCGGAGGGTACAACGTGTGCATTTGCTCTATCGTGCACAACGGTGCCGGGCGGCTGGTTAGCACGTCACAGCGTCATTACAGCAAAGGCAGGTTCAGAACTCACAGAGCAGTTCATGTGCTATAGCCCCATTTTTGTAAAATGAAAATTCATTGATAATACATAGAAAACCATTAACATTGACTTTGAGATGGGTAAGATTAAGGTGGTTTTTATTTTATCTATGCTTATTTTTATTTTCTATTTCTTAAATCCCAGCACAAATCAAAAAGATAAAAAGGTAATTATTGCAGAGCCTGAAACAGACTTGTGTGTAAAATTTTGAAGCAGAAAAAGGAGGAGGATCCTGAAGAATCTCTGAAAACCGACACTGCGAACCTGGCCATTCCTTGTCAGCCTTGTCTCCGCAGGAGGAGCGCGAGTAGGACGGCGGCGATGAGGACGCCGAGGGCACAGACTGTGGGTACCGTGACCTCCGTCACTAGTTGCATGTGACTCAGCAAAGGCTCTGAAAGGTGGAGAGAGAACTAGAGCTGCACATACGATTGCGATTGTTTTAACAAACACAGCTTCATCCCAGAAGCTTTAACGTATTAGAAAACCCTGAAAAATGTCATCATCAAATTTTGTAATCTTATTCACTGTTAAAAGAGAAATGGCAAATTAAATGTGATTTAAAAATTAGGTGAGAGCTTTGTGAATGATTTCAGAAAATACAGATGAAGACTGCTAAGTGGCCCAGCTGGGGTGGTGCAGGTGGTCGGCGCCATGCGGCCTGGTCCAGAGGCTGCACCACGCTGGCTGGGCCTGCCAGGTGCACCCTGGTGCTGCTGGTGGGAGGCCTGGGGAGTGACTCTGGATGTGGTGAGACCCTGTCAGGGGTACTTCTCTCTCTGGAAATAACTTTTTAAAAACTTAAATTTGGCTTTTCCACAGCTACTATAATAAAATCTGAATGTATATCACTACTTATGCTCACCACGAATCAATTTCAGAATATTAGCAGCCATATTCCATAGTTCCTGTAACTTACTGCATTTGCAAAGCAAAGATTCTTGGACAACATCTCCAACCTTTCAAAGATGTGGCTATGTAGCTTAAGGATTATAAGAATTTCTCTGTGAGGTTTTTAATGGTCATTCTTGCATAAATAGTAATCTTTAAGAATTCAATGATAAGCACATTTCACGTGCATAACCCACGTTCAGGCTGTGAGCTGGTTTCCCTGGTTACGAGATAAACGAGGCCCCAGTGTGTTCATGGAGCTCATTTGCCTGTCAGATTCCACATCCTGTCTACAGTAGGTCTGTTCTGGTTTAAAATAGTTCTATAAACGTACATTATGAGTCAGAAAGAGTAAAGCTAGAGTGAATACCCCTTTCAGGGTAGGTTTTTGGGTTTTTTTCCATTTGAAATTCTTATAAAACATTTCTTTTTTGTTGTTTTCTTTTTAATTTCCAGGGGGCATGTGTGCTTATCAGAGGCAGAGAGAGAATATCCCTTTCAAGGTAGATTTACTTTTTTAAATTTGAAATTTTTTTAAGAGTTATTTTATTTAATTTTATTTATTTTAACTAGTCTAGAGAGAGACACACATATATGCGTCCACCATGATTTTCAAGCTGCCGGGTCTGAGATTTGAACCACAGTCAGCCATGTGGGAGTCCAGTGCTGTAACCACTATACCTCCTGCTGACCCCCACCATATTTTTTTCTTCGTTTTTTTAATGCCAGAGGTATGTGCTGGTATGCGTGCACAAAGAGAGAACACCCCTTTCAGCGGGGCCTAGTACTGCCACAGTCTTTCTCCATCTCTTCCCTTTGGCATCCTGGGTATGTGCACACCAATCATTGCCCGGGACTCAAACCCTAGTTGGCTGTGAGTTCTGACTTCGATGCCGTGCTGAATTGCTGCATTGTGACGCTGGTCCTGAGCCAGCGTTTTAATTTCCGTTTCACATAGCTAGGAAAAATACTCTATTTCTTTTTGTTTGCTTTATTGAAAAATAATTTAGGGCCAGCCAGTGCCATAGTGGTTACAGCAGCTGCATTGCACAGGGCTGACTGCGGTACACGTCCCAGACCTGGCAGCCCGAAAAGCACTGGGCATGTGAACGTGCACTCCCGGAACCCTGGAGAGAGCACAGGGGAAGGGGTTGAGGCTTGGCCGTCCCTCCGCTACCAGGTCCAGGATTCAAACCGTGGTCGGCCATGTGGGAGTGTCCAGCACCTTTATTTCCAGGGGGCATGTGCGCTCACCGGGGAGAGAGCACCTCCCGTCCTGGTTTGGGCACACATGCACCGTGTCCAGCATGCTTTCCAAACTGCAGAGATCTGACTTTTTATTTTATACACAGCACTTAAGTGCTTGCTACCCATGAAAGGAAATTTGATGTTGCCTTAATTAAGTAAAAAAAAAATCCATTTTAGTCATTAGTGGTTTTAGAAGATTGACTTCAGATAGATCCCCATTTTGAGACTGTGGTAATGTCATGTTACATGTGTAATTCTGGGCTCTAACTATTAAAGGAGAGAATTAATGTACACTCACCTACAGCAAGCATCTGGTTGTTGATAGAGCAAGTTTCCAAGGCTTTGAGGTGCCAACCTTCCACCTAATAAAAACCCACTTGGTCAGTAATGTTTTTGCTCAGACTAATCTTTTGCTGTTTGAAATTATTTTTCAAAATAAATATGGGGTAAAGGTAAGTATTTTTTAAAATCTACCCATGGTTTAAATTAGTTCATATATATTGTACACCTATGTGTACAGTTTTTATTCTTGAGAATTGTATAATTTAGTGCTTTTCAGATGTAAAAGTGTACAGCGCCCAATAGCTACCAATTCCTGCTCCCGTTTATAGTCTCACAACGCTCACCTTAAAAGAATTTCAGTTGACAAGTGAGATTTATTTATTTATTTATTTTAGTCTTTTGCTGTAGGGCATGTGTGCTCACCAGAGAGAGAGGAAAAATGAGAATCACCTCCCAGGGAAGGTGGCCACACTGCCATTTTTTTTTCTGTTTTCCCCTTGGGATTTTGGGTCTGCACACATTCCCACCTGGCATGTTTTTCAGGCCAGCAGGTCTGGGATTTGAACCGTGCTGTTGGCCATATGGGATCTGGTGCCTTGGCCACCATGCCACCTGCTGGCCCAGTGAGATTTATTTTTTGAAATGATTTTTAAGGCTCTCTAAATTGTAGTTGCTTTTCTCCAATAGGTGCAGTAACATAGAGAATAGAAAGGTGATAAATAATTGTAGATTATTATAAACGTGTGGTAGATTTGAAAGATGTATTAAGTTTGATTATTTTAAGTCTCATTTTGGAGCTAGTGTGTTAGAAACCCTGCCATTCTATTGGGAAAGAAATGAATATTATATGATCGCTATGCATTCAGTTTACTTAACTGTTTTTTTACTTACGTTGAAGAGGAGGTAACGCTCATTTGCATGAAGATACCACATTTCGGATAACATTTAACTGAAGTATCCATTGATTTTGGCTTATAACCTGGAGCACCCAGCACTGCATAACCTCTAGTCACGCCCTGAATGCTGCCCTCTGTATTGAGGGACTGAATGAAGGCATGCTTGCTCCATTCTGAGCAAACGAGCAAAGAGGTGTGGGAGGTGGGGGCGGAGGTAAGGGGCTGTGCTGCCTCTCCCGGAGGAAGAGGGGGCACTGCTCAAACTGCATCTCAGCTGCCCAGCTCCTCCTCAGTCCGGACCTGGTAACCCGGGAAACCCGTCCTACCTCTCTTGGACTGGGAAACCCATTGGCGGCGATAATCTTCTTGTAATACTCAGCCGAAGCCTTTGGATAACGAGGCTTGTTTCTGTCGTTAAATTCGACATAGTAGAATCCATATCTATCTGAGTATCCTTTCTCCCATTCAAACTTGTCCAGCAGAGACCAGGAAGTATACCCTTTTATATTAGCACCGTCTTTGATAGCTGCAAAGACATTTCAGTCAGTTTTTAATGCATTTCACTTACTTAGGAAAATAACGTGAAGACACTATGTTACAGCCTTCCCGTTTCCGAGATTAGAAGCGAGAACTAGTTGACCACGAGTAAGCAGAAGACTTCGTGAAGACAGTCTTGGAGTATCTCACCTTTTAGCATTTCATTTATGTATCCTTTGAGGTACTGAATTCTCCACTCATCACATAACTGAGTACAGTGGAATTTTTGAGATGCTCCGTTTTCTGTCACATAGATGGGAGGGTTGCCATATTGCGTCTGAAAGTGAGTCACAGGAATGCATGTCTTAAAAATTCGGACTTACAGGTGGGTGTCAGTCAGAGCTTCATATGGGAAAGCATATTCAAGCCTGCACATCCGCATCAAGTCTATTTTAGCATTCAGCAGCTGTCAGTTCCTGCGTTTACAGACGGACGTAGGCAGGAGACAAGGTCATAGGAAAGAATATATTTATCAGTAAGTCGGCATTGTTAGAGGGGACGAGTACTTTAGGTCTTACTCTTTTCAAGTATTTTTCAGGTTTTTGAAAGGGGCAACAAAATATCTAAAAGTGGGGTAAGAATTTTCGCCAAGGCGATGCACACAGAAATGGCTGTTCGTTGCTGGCGTCCGTCTGCAGGCCTGTAGTGGCCTCTGCGGTCTGAGGAACTGGGCTTATTCTGCTGTATTCCCCTGAACGGAGACGCACCCAAGCTTAAGCTGTGAGCCCGTGGAGTCGAGTCTAAATGTCTTAAGTAGCGTCATTTGCTAATCACCTGAGCAAAGTGGAGGAGCCTTCTAAATCCCCATGGCACCGAGTACAGCCAGCTGGACCCCAGATCTGGCCAGTTGGGGTCAATGAGTTCTAGTAAGTCACGGTCGTTCTGGTAGCTGGGCCCCTGGCGGGCGGGGTAGCTCCTCTCTGTGATGTACCGAGTAGTAAAGTGACCTACTCCCAGGAAGTCCGCCGTGCCCTTGACGTGGCTCTTCTCCTGGAGCGAGAAGGCCGGTAAGCGCGACACCTCCAGGCCTTGCTCCTCGCTCTTCCTTCCTGTCGGGAGAACATGGTTTCACCAAGTGCGCTCGCCACCCTTCCTCACATTGTGATGGTACGAGCATGTTGCCATAATGCCGGGCTTTAGGGTTCATCTCTGCCTGAAAAGTACAACCTTAGTCTTTCAGGCTAGAGTTTTGACATTTGAATACTGTCCAAAATATTTTAAAACCTATGTTGCTTAAAACTGATGTTTTGGGACCAGCAGTTAGTGCAATGGCTATGTCGCTGAACTCCCACATAGTCGACCACGGCTCGAGTCCCGGACCCGGTAGCTTAAAGTCACACCAGGCGCGTGTGCATGAGTGCCCAAGATCCCGAGAGGAGAAAGGAGGAGAAGGGATTGCGGCGTGGTCCTCCCCCCTGGGCAGTGATTTCTCGCTTCCTGTCTCTGTCTCTGTCTTTCTGCCAAGCGCACGTGCCCTATAGCAAAAGCCTCTCCAAAAAGAAAGTGATGTTTTCAGACTCTTCACTAAGTGGAGTGTAGACAGCTGGGGTAGCCTGGGGAAAGAAGTAGAGTTGTATTCCTTTTTCTTTCTTTTTCTTTTTTTTTTTTTAAAGAAAGTGTGGTTTTTAAATAATTATTTATTTTATTTTATTTTATTCACTCATTTGTTTAATTTGACCAGAGAGAGAGAAAGTGAGGAAGCAAGCCACCAGGTCTGGGACTCGAACCATGGTCAGCCATATGGGAGTATCCAGTGCCTTAACCACCACACCACCTGCTGGTCCCCCGATTCTTCCATTATTTCTTTGATTCAAAACTAATAATCTGGGTCTCAGCCGTGGTGGCGCAGGTGGCAGGGAGCCACGTGGGAGGCCTGTGTTCAGATCCCTGGCCACCCCGAACATACCGTGCACGTGTGCTCATTGTGATCGCAACTGGCTGGGGGAGACACGGCATGGCAGGGCCCTGCCTAGGGTCTCTCTTTCTCTCTCTTGAAAGGAACTTAAGAAGTTGGCAGTTTTGGGACCAGCAGTTGGCGTAATGGCTATGTCACTGGACTCCCACATAGTCGACCGCGGTTCACGTCCCGGACCCAGTGGCTTAGAACTCACCCTGGGCGCATGTGCGCCCAAGATCCTGAGAGGAGAATGGAGGAGAAGGGATTGTGGTGTGGCCATCCCTCCTGGGGGGTGATTTCTCACTTTCTGTCTCTGTCTCTGTCTTTCTGGCGAGCACACATGCCCTATAGCAAAAACCCTCTCCAAAAAAAAAGCTTGCAGTTTTGGCCCTCTGGGAGGGAGCTGAAAGGCCAGTGGTGTGGAGACCACAGGCTCGAATACCGCTGCTGGTCCTGTGAGCTCGCAGAGCCGGCTGTCCTTGGAGCACTTCCCAGTCTGCGCATCCTGTCCGTGCTCCCGAGTACCAGGTCTTCACTGGGAATGAAGCAGCACGAGACCGACAACACGGTGTCCGTAAGTAGGGACTGGTTGAGTAGCCGGTGGTATGTCCGTCCATGCAGCACTGCAGCCACGTTGGAGGGCAGATGAGACAACGCCTTATACACCACGGGGAAGAGATTGCTGAGACGCGATTACGTGGGGAAAAGGTGCAGTGTCGCATGTGAGAAGCACGTGTGCTGACAGCGGCATGGTCTGCCCACATGTGCACCGTGCATCTGTCGAGGGAGGGAGCTTCACTTTTTTTTTTTTACTTCGTACCTTTTTATTAATCCTCTTATTTTTTTAATTACCAGAAGGCACATATACTTGCCAGAGAGATGCTTGAGGGGTCGTGGTCACACCACAGTCCTCTCCCCATTCCTCCTGGCCAGGAGTTCAGGCATGCACACACCACACCCAGCCTGCTTTTCACACCGCAAGGGCTGGGATTCGAACAATGATTGGTAATGTGGGATCCAGCTCCCTGTGTAATGGCACTTAACCACTGCACTATGGGCTGCCCTGGTACTTTTTTTTTTTTTAAGTTTATTTCTTCTGTAAAGAGAGGGAGAGAGGCCAGTACTCCAGCAGGGTCTCTGTGCTGCAATCCCACGCCAGCCTCAGCATCCAGGGTCAGGTGCACACGTATGTGCTGGTGTGCACAGGGAGGTCGTAGGACGTGAACCCGGACCTTCCAATGTGGGAGCAGCATCCAGGAGCACCACACTACCACTCCGCCGCCAGCTGGCCTCACTTCAATTTTTTATTTATTTAATTTTGTTTTCTTATTATTATTATTTTAAATTTGCCATAGGGCATGTACACTCCCCAGGGAGAGCAAGCGAGCGAGCGAGCGAGCAAGCTGCTATCTTCAGGTCTTGAACCATGGTTCCCCCATGCGGGAGTCCAGAGCCTTAACCACATGCCACCTGCTGGCCTCTGGCCTCACTGACCCCACTTGATATTTTAAAAAATTTGAAACATATCCTTTGCAAAAAAAAAAAGTTTTGAATAAAATACAGCAACATTTTTATGAATTGATCTAAAATATAGAAATATTTCCAAAGAGACTAGTGGTTTAGATTAAATGAGTGAAAAGTTTGTATTGTTAAATACTTTTAAAATACTAGCATGTTGGGACCGGCAGGTGACATGGTGGTTAAGGCGCTGGACTCCTACGTGACTGCGGTTCGAATCCCAGACCCGGTGGCTTGCTTTCTCACCTTTTCTCTCTCTCTCTGGTCCAATTTTAAAAAATGAATAAATAAAATACATAATTTAAAAAAATAGTGTGTTACTTTTGGTTCTATTTAGTAACTTGAGAAAAACACAAGGTATTGTTCTGGTACCACTTAATACAGTAGCTCCTCACCACTCGTGGCTACAGAGAGACAGCTGGTGTGGCCGAATCTTTCATTCAGTTACACTGGCCTGATTTATTTTTTTTTTTTTTTTTTATTTTTTGGTGCATGTGCTTGTCAGAGAGAGACAGAGAGAGGGAAAGTGATAAACCAGTCCCCAGGGGGAGTGGCTGTGCTGCAATCCCGTCTCCATTCTTCTGGGATTTTGGACACGCACACACATGCGCCTGGTGTGATTTGGCCAGGGACTCAAACCAGTCTGCCATGTGGGAGTCCAGCGCCTTCACCACTGTGCCACCTGCTGGTCCACCCCCAGTCTGAAATTTTATTTTAATTCATTTAAATTGTACTAGGCACAGGTGGCTTGAGGGCGTCGTGTCAGAAAGCACAAATGTAGAGCATTTCTGTCATCACAGGAAGTTCTGGGCAGCACTGACCTAAAGTCACTTCTCTTTATGTATGTATTGTGACTAAAAGTGCTTAGAAGGGCCTAGACGTAGTGCAGGCAGGGTGCTTTCACTACTAAGTTTTAATCTTATTTTCCCAGAAGGCACGTGTGCTGGAGAGGGGTGAGGGGAGCACACACCGCCCGTGGTACGTGGTTGCGCCACAGTCCCTTGTCCATTTCTCGGTCCTTTGGGGATTTGGGGCACACATGAACACACACTCAGCATGGCTTTCATGCCTCCAGTTCACACTAGGTTGCGGGGACCGCCCTAGTAAATAAAACATCAACAGCGAAGAGGATCCTTCTTTCCACATGTACGAAGTCGAAGTTCAGCCCTCTTCCCACTTGAATCATCCAGAATTAGAGCTGCTGGGGTCTGGGATTATTGGTGTTGAGCCCAAGAACTCCATCACAATCAATTTGGCTTTTCAGTGAAATTCTACTGTGGCACATGCAGTGGCCTCTGAGGGTCTTGGGGGAGGGAACGCACCCCGTGAAAGATAGGGTGTACTGCAGAGACACAGGCACCTGCCCTGGGGCGTCTTCCGTGCATATCGAGGAAATCTTGAGATTTTCGAGTATATGCACAGAAGTGTCACAGAACCTGTTACTGCTGAAAGAATTTGCGGTTACTTTGATCCTTTCGCTTTCAGATGATAAGATTGAGACCAGACGAGGTTACGCCCTTGGCCAGTCACCCACTAATTACTGCCAGAGTTGGGATCGGAGCCCGCCTTCCCCTGTTCCAGGTATGGCTGACAGGCGGTGCTTTAGCCACGGGAACCTGAGAGGCCAACAGTGCTCTCCTAGACGTCTAAAACACCTCGCGTGAGACTGGAACCTGCTTTTTCTCTCTTTCGGTGCTCAAGATGGATGTCGCCAGAGAGAGAGAGGAGAAGGCACCCCCCCGCCACCCCCCCAGCAGTGGTCAAATCGAAATCCCTTCCACTCCATCTCTCCGTCTTTTTGGAATTTGGGATATGAATGCACGTGCACCTGCATGTTTCCTAAGTCACTGGGCCCAGGACTTGAGTTGTGCGGTCGGCCGTGTGAGATGCAGCTGCCTCGCCACCCTGCCGTGTTGCCTGGTTGAGAGTGTGACCCATTTCAGGGTTATCCTCGCCCCTCTGCCTTCCAGGGTGGCTGTAGGCGGATACCTCAGATTCCCACGCCGCAGTAGCCCTTTGCCTGTCTTGCCCTCTTCCCCTTCCAGAGGGGTTTTTCCTTAGGGGATCCCTGGCCCCTCCCCAGCCTCTGGGGCCCTATCGCGGTTGTCTAGAGCATCCCTGGGTATGTGACATTTCTGTCCCTGGCAGCAAAAAGGAAAGTCAGCTGGGGCTGGGAAGCTATTTCCTGGGAAGATTGTTTTGTTCTTAGCTAAGAAGAACAAGGCAAGGATGCCCACGCTTACCACTTCTCTTCAATGCCAGAGCAATAAGACAAGAAAAAAAAATGCAAGGCATCTTGGGCCAGCAGGTAGTGTGGAGGTTAAGGTAGCTGGATCCCACAAACCTGACTGGTGGTTTGAGTCCTGGACCTGGTGGCTTGAAAATCACACCGAACACGTGTACGTGCATGTCCAAGATCCCAAGAGGAGAATGGAGGAGAAGGGACTGTGGTGCGGCCACCCCCCTGGGGGGTGATTTCTCATTCCCCCACCCCATCATCTGTCTCTTCTGTCTCCAGCGAGCACACACACCCTGTAGCAAATCAATCAATCAATCAATGCAAATTTTGAAAAGGGAGAAGTAAAGTCATCTCTGCAGATGAAATGTTATTTTGTAGAAAACTAAAGATTCCACCAAAAAAACCCACAAAACTTTTGGAACTAATAAATGAATTCAGCAAAGTGGCTAGATACAGTCAATGAACAAAAGTCAGTTGAATTTTTGTATACTAACAATGAGCAATCTGCAAAGGAAATTAACAAAACAATTCCACTTACAGTGGCATCAAAAGAATAAAATACTTAGGAATTAACCACAGAGGTCAAAGATTTACACAATGAAAGCTACAAGTCATTGCTAAAAGAAATTAAATAAGTGGAAAGACATCTTCATGTTTTTGGATTAAAAGACTTGATTGTGAAGATACCAGCACTGCCCCATGTGATCTACAGATTCCGTGCCATCCCCATCAAAAACCCAGTGATGTTCTTGGCAAAAGAGAAAAATCCTTCCAAAATGTATGTGAAATCTCAAGGGCTCCCAGAGAGCCAAAGTTATGAAAAAGATGTGATGCCTGGAGCTGCTGCAGTCATGCTAGGGCCATGGGGCGTGGCCGATGGGGTAACTAAAGGTGCCCAGAGTATGAAGACGCAATGAGGCTGGGTCCTTAAAGACATCCATTAGAGGGGCCAGCAGGTGGCTGGACTCCCACATGGGCCAGTCGCGGCTTGAGTCTCAGACCTGGCGGCTTACCCTCTCTCTCTTTTTCTCATTCTGGTCAAATTAAAATAAATAAAATAATTATTTTTTTTTTTTAAATGAAGACATCCATTAGTGTCGGGTTAACTAGTCCTGAATCCCTTGCGGCTCAGATGAGAAATTCCCTACATCCGAAGCGATTTTAGGTAGGGCTTTCTGCCCTGTGGCAGTTAGAAGCGTCCAGCCTGATAGCGCCTGTGAGCCCTCCCCTAACACTGGAAACCAGAGCTTGGAAAGGACTCCTCAGATGACGAGAGCTCAGGACAGACCTGACGCCTGCCGGTGGCCGCGTCTCTGACGTCTCGCTCTACTCCCCTGCGGTTAAGATGGAGTGCCGGGTGGGAGGAACGGACCAGGTCTCAATGCTCGGATGCCTCCCAGAGCCCCACGTGCCCCTCGTCCCCCTGCCTCTTGCTCATTGCCCTTGAGCTCCGTATTTGTCGCGGTGGTACCTGGAGTTGGAAAGCGCGTGACTGGGCTCACCGATATTGTCCTTCATGACTTGAGGGTAGTCACCAGTGTAAACGGGGTCCGCGAACCAGCCCAGGCAGAACTGCAGGTACCGCTCGGCAGCCTCTATGTCCTTCGGGTTGCTGGTGTCCACAGGCTCCCCCCAGTGGCAGTTTAGTGAAATGCCCACCAGACCTTAGAAGAAAGAGCAGGTGGGAGGTGGGCATGAGGTGGTCCCTCCGACTCTGTATGGCACACATGTGACAGTGTGCATGCGTGACGTGCACACGCGTGATGGCTCACCTTGCTGCTTGTGACGCCACTTCCTGTTGTAAGAGTGCCAGGCTTTGGCGTGGGCCTGAAAGAGGAGCGGGACGTCATTGCGGTGTTGCCTCGGCCCTCCTCTCCCTTCTCAGTCCACAGCGGCCCTTCTCCTCGCTAACCCTCAAGATCCAGCTTAGACCTGCATTTTGTCAGCCCAGCCTGGACTCGACGTCTCTGTTGCGGATGAGCCTGTCGAAACTGGCATAAAGCCCTCACAGGCTCCACTCAGACCTGCTGCGTCAGAAGCTCTGGGGTGAGCCAGCAAACTTTCCCCCCTTTATGTGAGAGAGATTTTTGCTATAGGGTGTGTGTGCTCACTGGAGAGACGGAGAGACAGAAAGTGAGAAATCACCCCGAAGCACAATCCCTTCTTCATTCTCCTCTCAGGATCTTGAGCACTCATGTATATGCACCCAGCATGAGTTTTAAACTGCCGGGTCCAGAACTCGAACCATAGTCAAGTGGGAGTCTAGTGACATAACCATTATGCCAACTGCTCGTCCCCCGAAATCTTTTTTCTTTCTTTTTTTTTTTTTGGAGAGATTTTTGCTATAGGGTGCATGTGCTCGCTAGGAAGACAGAGACAGAGAGATAGAAAGCGAGAAATCACCCCCCAGGGGAGATGGTCCACTGCAATCCCTTCATTCTCTCGAAATTTTGGGCATGCACCCACATGCGCCTGGTGTGAGTTTCAGGTCTCCTTGTCTGGACTCCAACCATGGTCTGCCATTTGGGAGCCCAGCAACATAACCATCTGCTGGTCCTGTGTTTATTTTATTTTATTTTTTGGAGAGGTTTTTGATAAAAGGCACATGTGCTAGCCAGAAAGAGAGAGGCAGAGACAGAAAGCGAGAAATCACCCCCCAGGAGGGATGGCCACGCCGCAATCCCTTCTCCTCCATTCCCCTCTCGGGATCTTGGGCACACATGCGCACGCTCCCAGCGTGAGTTTAAGTCACCGAGTCCAGGGCTCGAACTGCAGTTGACTCCATAGGAGTCCAGTGGCACAGCCATTACACCAACTGCTGGTCCTATGTTTTAATAAGGGCCTCACATGATTCTGATACTCACTGACGTCTGAGAAACTCTGAATTAGAATAACTGAATATCTCAAGGCTATGACATTTGGCCAATCTGTCTTAGAGCCCTTGCTGCCATCTCTGCCTGTGTTTCCTTTCTGCCTGCCCGCAACAGCCCACAAGACAGACAGGGCAGGCCACTGCAGGGCCTCGGGTACGTGCTGTGTACAGGAGACCAGATCCCACGTGGCTGGCCACAGTTTGGATCTGGCCCTGGTGGCAACACGCATGCCCATGATCCTGATGGGATGGAGAACTAGAGAAGGGGATTGTGGAGTGATCAGCACCATTGGGGGTCCCTCCTGTCTCCTGGGGACCCCGTCTCCCATGCATAAGAATAAATAAAATGTGAAAAACAGTTCTTGGCTTGTCTAATGAAGCAGAACCTCTCAGCATCAAAATCATATCCATTCAGCTTAGCACTTTTTTTTTTTTTTTTTTGGAGAGGTTTCTGCTATAGGGCATGTGCATTCACCAGAAAGACAGAGAGAAAAGCAGAAAGCAAGAAATCACCCCCAGGGGGGATGTTCATGCCGCAATCCCTTCTCCTCCATTCTCCTCTCAGGATCTTGGGCACGCACACACATGCGCCCAGAGTGAGCTTAAGTCACCAGGTCCAGGACTCAAACTGCGATTGACTACATGGGAGTCCAGTGACATAGCCATTACGCCAACTGCTGGTCCCAAGCTTAGCGGTTAAGGTGCTGGATTCCCACATGGCTGACAGTGATTCCAGTCTTGAACCCGGCACCTTGAAAAATCACGACAAATACATAAATTAATGTTTAAAAGAAGAACATAACTAAAGGGCCCAGTAATCCCTCAAGGATCCAAGGAAGGGGAACACAAGATCCTGTCTCCTCCCCTCAGACACGCTGATTTCTAAAGGGCCTATGAAGTTTGAAGGAGAGTATAGAGCTAAAGAATTGACCTTTGGCTGTGAAACAGATTTTTTTAAAAGAATTATTTATTTAGTTAGTTCTATTCGTTATATGATTTTTTTAAATTTGACCATAGAGAAAGGGAAAGTGAGAAAGCAAGCCTCCAGGTCCGGGACTTGAGCCATAGTCAGCCATGTGGGAGTCCAGCCCCTTAACCACCACGCCACCTGTTGGTTCCCAGATGAGCACCTTTGATAAGTGAGGCCTAATGAGAGACCTGCATGTTCCCCTTAAAGCTGTGCTCACAGCTCTGCCTCTGCGGCCGAGTAGGAAGAATGGGGAAACTGTCCTGGATGTGAGCTGGGGGTCTGGCATGTCACCCGGTGGTCCCCGCGCCTTTCAGCATGAACAGACCTGGTATGAAGTGGCCGTGGGGGCCATTGCCACCATGCCTCGCGCCCTGCGGTGTGACCCCGTCCCCCCACCGCCCACCTCTGGACCAGTCACTGAGCATCTCTAATGTCCCCTTCCCTTTCCTCGCCCCAGAGGCTCCGGCTGCTAAAGAGCACCCCCAGCGCGGCCTTCTCGGGCTCGTTTTTCCCCTCGCGCCCCACTTACTTCAGGGCCTGCGAGAGGGGTGGTGTGTGCTTTGCTTTGGCTGCTGCTTCTAAACTGCCCCTTCTCTGAAACCCCTGGACCTTCCAGGGCCGTGCTGTCACGACCCCTCCCGGCCCCTGCTCGTTGCTGTCCTTCGCCGGCCACTGGCGACTTCCTGCTCCTTGGCTGGAGACGTCAGTCCCTGGCTCCCTGTCACACCCTTCCTCCCACCCCCAGTTTCCACAGGACAGTCTGGCCTACAGGTGACAAGTCGGGCACACGTCTGTGCTCCAGCTCTTTGACGGCACCCAGCCGAGAACTGGACGACGAGCCCTCGTGGAAGGGCGGACGCCGTGGATGCTGGTTTGGGGAGGGAGGCTGAGGGCCGAGCTCGGGGCCCTGGGCAGACAGCTGGCCGTGAGCTGGCCACCCGGAGGCCGGCCCGGGGCCCGCGGCTCACCTTGATGATGTGGTGGGCCGCCTTGTACAGGCCGGTGCCGCGGAGCTTCAGGCCCGGTGCGTGGCGGCCCGTCTCGTAGCCGTTCTCTGCTATCGCCTGCAGGACAACGCGGGGCCCGGGGGCCCGTGAGAAGTGGCGGGAGCACATGGACGCCCCGGGGAGTGGGGTCTCACACCTCGAGGTTCAACTCACCCGAGGGTCACTGAAAGTGACCCAGTGCTTCACTCGGTCCCCGAAGGCCTCGAAGCACAGGTTGGCGTAGTCGTCGAAGTAGGTGACCATGCTCGCGTTCTGCCAGCCGCCGTAGCGCACCTGCAGCAGCTGCGGACAGAGGGCAGGGGCCGGTGGCCGGGCTGCAGGAACGTGGGCCTTGGCAGCTGCAGCAGGCGTTCAGAGCCTCGCTCAGGGGGCGGCGGTGTTCAGACTCGCAGGCGGCACCAGCCGGTAGTGCGGAGGGTAAGGTGGCTGGATCCCACTGGACTACTGCACGGTGTGAGTCCCAGACCCGGTGGCTTGGGAAACACATCGGGGACCTGTGCGTGCATGCCCAGAATCCTAAGAGCCCATGGAGGAGAAAGGATTGTTGCACGGCCCTCCTCCCCCTGCCTGACATCAGGGTGATTTCTCACTTTCCCTCTCTTTCTGTCTCTCTCTCCAAAGGGTGCAGGTGCCCTATGGCAAAATTTAAAAAAACAAGACTTGGAGACAGTGGCGGTGACAGGGGATGAGGATTTACGTCGCACGATGTACGGGGGGTGGGGGGCAGACGAAGTTTGAGATGCAGGCCTGGAAGGAACTTGACAGACCGACTGTCTAAGAACATCTGCCAGGGAACCAACAGTTGGCGTAATGGCTATGTCGCTGGACTCCCACATAGTCGACCGTGGTTCGCGTCCCGGACCCGGTGGCTTAAAACTCACACCAGGCGCGTGTGCGTGCGTGCCCAAGATCCCGAGAGGAGAATGGAGGAGAAGGGATTGCGGTGTGACCATCGCCCCTGGGGGGTGATTTCTTGCTTTCTGTCTCTCTGTCTCTCTCTGTCTGGTGAGTGCACGCGCCCTATAGCGAAAACCTCTCAAAAA